TAAGCACATGTTTCTGAAGGAGAGAGGCAGCTTGACTGATTCAAGCATTGTTAGTGGGTATGAACATTTCTCACTGTTATGGAGGCATTTGAAGCTCAGATGGGCCACTTGTTAGGCCTTTGTGACTCAGTTGAGGTGAGAGGTTGGCGATAGATCATCCACTCTGTGTTCTTCTCTTTCCCAGATGTGGCAATCTGGTAGGGACAGTACAGTTAGCATTGGTGCTCTTTGGCGAGAGAGAGGAGTGATCAGCCAGGGCTTTCCCACTGCTGATCGTACCTTGACCATTGTTAGGGAGTGTGAATGTTAGTGTCTGACATGATGCTCTGCCAACCTTTATCATCCAGGCTCATGCGTGAAGACCGAGCACTTGGGAGAGCCATCAGGGCAGCCAAGGCCTACTTACGGTACAAGTGGGAAGTTTCACATGGAGCCATATCGTCTCCTATTGTCTCCTCTTGTGTGTTGTAGGTTTATATCAGGTCTGTCTGCAACGGTACGTCTAATAGCACTCCACTCACATTATTGGCACGGTCCCACTCCCTGCCTCCTGTTTAACATGGCGTTATTGTCCATGCTGCGCAAGCCACACATGTCTGTGGCAGTTCCTCTAGGTGTGCACACTCTTCCTTCCCTCTGTTAGTGACCCCGCCACTTTGACAGACCTGCCCATGCGAGTAACTTGGAACATTTTGCACCACCAGTGACTCTGCCCTTACCCTTGCAGCTGGATGTTAATTTACTTTGTTTTTTGTATCGCTGTGTTTTATACCAAGTTGCACAATCCTCCCTCCAATGAGCACTGGGGCCATCTCTGTGCGTGATGTAGCTCTTGTTACAGAGTACGATCACTTGTGATAGGGTGAGCACCAGCACTGGCATCAGGGATGGATTGAATGCCCGCCCTCATTGAGTTATCTCAGTTCATTTCGTTTTACACTGGTCAGAATACCCAACATGGAGGGTCACTCCATGTCACTCGTCAGAATGGTTTGGGTGAAGGAGGCCATTTTGCCCATTTGATCTTCTCCACGGAGAATGCTCACTCTCGATCTTCCCGTTTCAGTATAGTGCTATCAAACAAGTCCAGTGTCCTGCAGAAGTCAAACCAGCCAAGCCTAGTATTTGTCCCTGTGTGACTTCCACACGTACGTACGTACATACACTTTCCAGTAAGGCTTAGCGGAGAGGCATCAGGAGTGGGGGCCCTTTCTGGGGGTGGGGGGCTGCCGTCGCTGTGTCACAAACTGCTGCTCAGTTGAGATCGGCTTAACTCACTTTGATTCAAAGCAATGACCTTCTGGTGAGCATGGCTTAGTGGCTCGCAGGGCGGTGCCTTCATTAATTAGGCCACCACGACTGTGTGTTAAATCAGTTTAAACCTTCCCTGCTCCTGAAAAGCAAAGCGTGCAGGTGCTCACCCCGTTCTGAACAACAAGTTGTCACTCACTCCCATTATTGCCGACAAATGTCTGAATATATCGTGACAGCCTAGTAAATAAAAAAGCATTTTAGGCAAAATACAATTAGTGTGTTTTTATATTCTTATGCAAGAACATCTACACTTCTTGGCACATCACAGGGAATTGCAAGACTATGGTTGCTGGCAAACATGGCAGCTCTCTTGCAGACATAGTCTCACCAACAACCTTCAGGTGAATGACCAGTTTTGGTCTGCCACCATGTTTTATCACAGGACTCAGACTGCCTGACTGAAGTTTGCCTTCCTGACTTCTTTTGGAGAGTTGTCCAAATTGACTGCACGTGGCATTTTGACGGAACGGTCACTGAGGTGTACAGGCCCGGAATTTGACCTGTCTTCTCTCAGCCGAGGCAATATGAAGGGACAATGGTTGGCCTCTTGGGTTAAGAGGGTGCGGGGATTGGGAAATGGGCTGGTGCTTTTGATCGCTGCCCAGTCACCCATGCTGGAAAGTGTGTGTTTGGATATGGGATTAAGGTCAGGATCAAACTTGGCTGCAATGTGTATCCCTTGCTTCTCCAGTTGAACAGCCTGCCAACTCTTGCCGTCAAGACTTGCACATGAAGCACGGATGCCAGGCTGAGGCTTTGGAGGGTGCCCTTGGGACTGCAGTCCAACATAGGGCAGAGGCTCGTAGAATAAAGCGGATGACCCTGTGGTTTTAAGCAAAAATCTCAAGGACAGTGCAGTCAGGTGCTTGAGATGCCATTTAGTTTTACTGCCCTGAATGTAAATTCTCAAACAGGTGTTAACTTCCACTGCCTGGGACAGCCAAGGTCATGGAATTCTTCACTTCAGGCAAGCAGGCCGAATTGGTGACTGCTGGCACATGGCGCTAGGGGAGGTAGAGGGCGGGGAGGAGAGAAAGAGATTTGCCTACAGGAAGGTGAGAATGGCTGGTGCTAATTTCCCTGCGTACCTTGACAGAAATGCTTTATTATTGAGCTGACCTCACTGGCTGGCCAAATGCCTCCCCCTTTCCAGGCTGGCAGCAAAGCACGACTGGCTTGAAATTAATCCTGCATCTGATGGGCTGTGAAGCATATGTTCCCGCAGCCATGTTACTGGATGGCTGGTTACATGCATTTGGAGCCCTGCAGGTTGTGGTTAGAGCGCTTGCCTCGCAAGCAGTAGGACCTGGGTTCGATTCACGGGCAAGAGGAAACCTTAGGCAAGTTTCCTTATTCCGCACACATGCCTCTGTTTATCTACTATAAGTAGGAACCCGATTGTTAGTCCATTAGTGGACTGCTTTTCTGAGGGTAATAATCCCATAAAATATAATAATAATAATTCGGACTCTCAATCCATGACTGTTTGTGGGACACTGCTGTGCGCAGTTGGCTGCTGTGTTTCGCCCTAAGTGTTTCTGTATATATTTTTAGTTTGAACATATGAAGACTTAATTAATATTTCTTATAAATAGAACCAACTTATGAGCTCAAGGTAATAATAAAATGTGTGTGTTGGAGGGTTGGCATGTCAGTGATTGATTATGCCTTCTAGATTCACAGCATGTCAAACCAGTTTATGGTATGTTTAAACCCACTATTGCACACAGAACATGTACCATTATTATCTGGTTTGTGTCAGTGGCACCGTGCTAGTCGGTGCTTGGTTTTAGATTATTCCTGTGTTTTGATATTAAATCTCTCTCTCCTGCCCCGTGTGCTAATTTCTGTCCCGGAGATGCCTCCGGCTTTCTCAGTCCTGCGCTTGAACCAGCCTCTGGGAGTGTGTAGAAGTTATGCTTGGTTCCTTACGCCCCGATTCCCCGTTTCTACCTGTGAGGCAGCCTGTTCCACCCTCCGGAACCCCATTCCACAGTCCCTTTGCCTTGCGCCCTCCCTTACCTCCTTCAAGGCACGTCTCAAGACCATCCTCTTCAGCCGCTCCTCTGGTCACCTTCCCGCGCCCCCCTACCCTCCTTGCTCTTCACCCCTCCTGATCCCAACTTCCAGCTCGGATCCAAATCGCTGACTGTCCAGCACCTTGGGCTGTCCTCCCGACGGGAAAGGCACTGTGTAAATGACATTTGTTATTGGTCAGGCTTTTTTATTCTTTCTCTCTTTCCAGTTTTTTTAAATAAATTGTGGTTCTCTTTTTGCACTTCATATCTAAAGCTCTGAATCCTCTTCATAGAGGGATTTGTTTTGAAGTGCAGTGACGTACATGAGCAATTGCTCTCAAGAGGTCTACTGTAGCTGCAATGTCCCACAATTAGTAAGAGGATGAATGACCAATTCAGTGCATTTTGGTGTGGAGGGAATATTGGAAAACTCCATCCATGCATTCCTTCCAGAAGGTTCCATGGCATCTTCGGCGTCCACTTTAACAAAAACCTGTTCTCACTGGAAAGCAACCCAGTGCTCCCTCATGACTTTATCACACACAAAGCATACAGATAATTTACTTTACAATATATTCTGTGAAGCGCTTTGAGGCGCCTTGAACATGTAATCAATTGCTATGTCAAATCCAAGAATTATTATTATCTTAGATCACGAGACCGTGAGGTCTGACTCGTTGAGGGACCCAAGAAAAGGCACAAGTCAACCCTTTATAATAGTCCTGCAAAGTAATGCCAACGCCACATGGAGCCCGGCATGCCCAGAAGCCGATTGCTCGCCCCTTGCAGCATTTGACTTGAGCCGCGGCCTTAAACAGCTTGATTGATTCCGAGCAGCCTCCTCTCCTGCCAGCCCATTAACTTTGATTACCTCCCAAGTTGCAGAAAAGCAAGTGGTTCCTGTTGCTGTGTTTTTCCTGGAACAGACCATCTGCTCACAGCATGTGTGTGCAGATAAGAGACGGCTGTGATGTCAGTGAGGCCCACTCGGTGTGGCTAAAGCAAGCGGAAACCTTCTTGGCTCTTAATCCCGAGTTCAATGCAATGTTTAAAGCAAACAGCCCTAACTTTTTATTTTAAAGTATAATTTCCTCATGCCTCTAGGGTGAGATTTCATTGCCGTGCTCCCACTTACATGTTCAAGATCCCACAGCACTAGCGAGTTTCTCACACTGTCCCCGTCAACAATCCTGCTGATAAATTGATCTTCAATTACCTTTTCCTGGAGCTGTCAATGTCGATGTGCCAATAAATACACAACCGCTAGGTTTAATTGCTGTGAAGCGCTCTGAGCTGTTTTGATGTGGTGATAAGAAGTCATAACTGATTATTATGATTCATCTCAAGGCGGTTTGGGGGACTTTGCCAGTGTGAACGTCTTCATTGTTTGTCTTCACAGCAATCACAAGTTTTGACAGTAATTATTGTGAAGCTCTTTGAGATCTTCCAATAGGAGTCGGGTTTGGTATCTCGTTAGACTTCTGGAGTTCTAGAGTTCTTGCAGTGTAAATTGAGTGTTCATTTAAGAGACGAGGAGTCCTGTCTCTGGCAGAGTGACCGATGGAAGAAAGCCTACTTGAGCCCAGCATGTGTTGGGGGGGGTGGTGGGGATGCGGAGAGAGAGAGAGCAAACATGCTCACATCAAACTTGTCCCTTCTGTTTTGCAGAGAGAAGGAGGAAGAAAAGGAAGAACAGTTAATGGAAGAAAAGAAAAGGAAAAAAGAGGACAAGAAGAAGAAAGACGCCACTCAGAAGGTGAGTCAGAAAGTCCAGCCTTTTCCAGCCTAATAATACCTGTTGCGTTGCTATTCCGCAGTTTGTGTGTGGTTTTTTTTGGAAGGAATTGGGGCCTCTCTGTTCCTATGTAACAGTGATGGGATAAATTCCAAAATGCTGTTGTGGCTGGCCAGATGGCTAATGTTTAGCAATGTGCCAAGCGAATAAAATCAGAACTGAATTTGAGAACACGGAGAGAGCAGAAGTAAATTGTGTGTTTTATGGTGGGCTTGCACCACTGTGTGTCGCAGGAGGGCTCCTGTGTTTATGCCGTGTGAACAGTGTGTACTCCCTGGCGCTGCAAGATCAGGGACATTGTCGCATCATTCCTGCAGCGTAGCGGTTAGAGCACTCGCCTCACAAGCGAGTTGACCTGGGTTCGATTCCCAGACGGGGGTAGGGCGAAACGTTGGGCATGTTCCTTACACTGCACACTTGTTAGTAGATTGGTGGACCACTTTTGCTGGGGTAACAATACCTTCAAAAAATAATAGTGACTCAATCCACAACTGTTTGTGGGACACTGATGTGCACAGTTGCCTGCTGTGTTGCGCCCACACAATATACATATCCCTTGACAGTACATTCTGTGAAGCGCTTTGAGACATCTCGAAGACGTGATAAAGCGCGATATCAAGTGCAAGGATTATTATTATTGAAAAGTGTTTGGCAGTGCGTGCGTTGGTGGGTGCGTGGTCTTGGTTTACCACTGTTTCTATTGTGTTGGAAATTGGCTGCTGTCTCAACAAAATGACCGTGTGGCGCGCGCACGTGCAACTTTCAGATGTTGCGCCTTTTATTTGCATCAAACCAAAATTTCAAGCTGTAACGTGATCTGTAACTTGTGGGTGACTTTACATGTTGAGACATGCAGTTCTGTTGGCTTCTGTAGACACACTCGGTCTTTGGCCTCATCTTCCTGTTAGTGCAGATTTACCCAGCAGAGAGAGATTGGCCTGCCATCATTGTCAGTCGTCACTGTCTGGCCTATAATAATAATAATAATAATAATCCTTGCATTTGATATAGCGTTTTATCATGTCTTTGAAAAGCCTCAAAACTCTTCACAGAATATACTATACAGTGAATTGACTGTATATTTTGTGGGTGAAGCACAGCAGTCAGTTGCGGACAGCAGTGTCGTGGATTGAGTAACCACATTTTTTTTCTAGTAATACCCCCGGAAAAGTGATCCACCAATCGACTAACCACCGGGTTCCTACTTACTGCTAGGTAAACAGAGGAGCGTGTGTGCGTGTGGAGTAAGGAAACTTAACTGAGATTTTGCCGGGGAATTGAACCCAGGTCCTCTTGTTTGCGAGGTTGAGCACTCTAACCGCTGAGCTACAGGACTCTACTGGCCTATCAATATTGGTTGACGCACTAGCTTTTTGAAATTGGGTTTCTGCTAATAAAAGCGTGGGTGGCGCGAGATAAAAGTATCATTTAGGGAAGTTGCTCTGTCATTCTACAATAAATGGCGAATCCAAAAGGAGTGAGGTTAGTTTGGAAATGGAAAGAAGGAAGGGAGGATTTGACAGTCGGGGGGGGATAAAGTAATAGTTTGATAGGGGAGATGGGAAGGAAAGGTTGCGTGGGCAGAAATTATAACTAGCGTTTGTGCCAGGGTTGAGAAAACACTTATGGTAATAAAGCGAGGCCAATACCAGGATCTACTCTGTCCTAATTAGCGGTTTGTGGGCGGGTTAGCAAAACCAGATGGCCCTGGAACTGGGAATGGACTTGTGCTGCTGACAACTCAACCAGGCGTGGCCTGGGCTCGAGAGTTGATGTCATCTACGGTGGGGTTTTCAGTAATTTGTTCCCTCAATCTTTCCACTACCTCTTCTCCACCCCCCCGGCGGGGAAATAAAAGCTGTTTACTCATGATATCTGTCCTCGAACACTAAAGCAAAAGTGGGAGGTGGGTAGACCGAGCACATGAGCATTTCTTCACGCACAAAGAGTTGCTTGTGTCGGCATTCATGTGATGGTCATTATCCATTGTGTATGTGATCATGGCCCTGTTGTCTGTCTGTCTGGATGTATATCTGTTTGTTTGGGGGTATCTTAGGGGGTATGTGTTTGGGGTGTATCGGTGGGGGGGGGGGTGGGGATGTCTGTGTGTGTGCAGGTAAGGTAGGGAAGGCCATTCACATCTCAGTGAACGAACTTGCTGCACACGTTGTGTAATGCCGACATTGGGGTTGACACAAAATGACAGCTGTCTTTTTGAGTGGCACAAAATTATCGATGCGGCACCCTGCGTTCTGGTCTCTCTCTCTCTCTCTCTCTCTCTGCTACTCTACTCGTCATTTGAGGTTAGCTTTCTTTTTAATCAGTGATTTTTGCCTGCTTTCTTCCCTGTTTCCCCCCCCACCCAAATGTTCATAAGTTGGTCACTCAATCCTCGGCTGTTTGTTGACAATTGGCTGCAGCGTTTCACCCAAAAAATACAGTCAATTCACTTCACAGTATATCCTGTGAAGCGCTTTCAGTCGTGTGGCAGACGTAAGGCGCTATATCAAATACAACGATTATTATTCATCGTCTGTGTCATCTTAGTTTTTCTGAGGGCAAAAGAATCAATGTCAGCCCTTGAAAGAGAACTGGATAAGTATTTGCTGCAGAAAATTACAAGGGAGAGTGGGAGTTGATAGTAGTTCTTACAGCCCAGGCACAAGCAAGATGGTCTGAATGGCCTCTTGTGCTGTGATTTCTGTGTTGGCAGAACCAGGTGGTTGGTCAGAAGTGTCATGTCTCTCTTTGAGCAGGTTATGCCCGGCTCTACTGAGTGCGTTCCCAGCGACGCTCTGAATACCTGGGGCCTGGTTCAGTATGTGGTGGGCTGTAGCCTCATTACCCAGAGCCAGTCGGTACTCGATGGGTTAAAGGTTTCGAGGCCGTTGCTATTTAAGCAGGATCTTGCTGATGGTGTGGATTGCGTTACTTTGAACTGACACAGCACTTTCTCTTTTTTTCCCCCTCTCCCTCCCCATTAGGTCACAGAACAAAAAACCAAAGGTAAGAGTCTAATATTGTTTTTCTTAAAAAAAATCTCTCGGGTAAAATTGAAACGTATTGTCGTACGCGTGACAGGTGCGAGGGTGAGCTTGACTCGTGGAGTGTTGGGGCCGTCGGGAGTTTTTGGTTTAGAGATAGAGGCTTTTTCTTGCTAATCCGGTCCAGTAACTAAGCAGACAGAGCTCACAAGCGTTTGAAGCATACGGAAGAAGCATGTTCGCTGCTCAAGTAAAGCACCTCGGGGTATTATTGTTATTGGGCTTCCCTTCTGCAGTGCGCACTCGGTTTCCCACTCCATCCCTGTGGATTAATGAACAGTTGGTAAGGATTACGTCGCTGGTGAACTGCGCTGCAATAAAACGTTGTGTTATCAGGACTCGCTGATGTCCAAAGCCCACGGATTGAGATTGCTGCCCTGCGCTTGCATTGGGTGTTTGGGTGGTGGGGGGGGTTGATTCACTTCAAATGAATTCCTGTGGCCTAGATGTGCCGTCAGAGGGAGCCATTGCAGCACGTAACACTGGGGGTATTTCAGCTTCAAGCTTCAGTTGCTAAGAAAATGGCTTGCTTCCCAGTTGCGTGGCTGGCACTGTGTGCAGCGTAACTGCGCGCAGTTTATAATGAAAAGGCTCGAGCCGGAATCTCGGTGAAACGTGGCCTCAAACACTGCAGCCCCTCGCAGACCGACCGTATAACCGATCGCTTGTCGGCTCTGAGTAAGCCCACGGCGCAGAAACTGAATGCTTCAGCACTCCCCGTGCAAGTGGCATCGGATCAGTGGAGAACAAAGGGAAACCAGGTGGTGGGAGCTGTGAATCGGACTTGGACTTATTCTCTCTCCCTCTCTCTCTGCCCGTTTGTCTCCCCCTTGCTAACTTCCACCCTGCTGAATTCTTTTGTCATATTAACATAAGCGGTCAACATTAACCCTTGCTAGTGCTAGCACACCTCTGGCCCAGCTATTCTGGGTCCCACCAAATTGGCCGCTCACGTCATATATACACATTGTGCTCTTTGGGACAAGTTGGGACTGGAGAGGTTCCCAGGCCAGTCTAGAGGCTTGCCTACGCTTTAAATAGCAAGTACTCTGGGATTTAAAGCACATTTCTTGAAGCAAGATAGGTTGGGCCCTGAGTTTTCCCAAAGAACCACGTTTTTTGTGTTTAAAGGTGCAACGTATATTTCAAAGAACAGAGTTTGGACTTATGTAACCTAGACTGACGCCTCAGTGAGTGTTGAATAAGTGCACAGCGGATGAGATGACATACTGAATTACAGGTGGATGTTTAAAGGTTGTGAGACAATTTGTTTAAAAAGAGCAGTGCTCCCAATAATCTCGCACTTCTGTGCGTTATTGGCTGCCGCACTTTGCCCACAAAATACAATTTACTTTGCAGTATATTCTGCGACGCAGCCAATATATTTGGTGAAGCGCCTTATCACATCTCCCTTGAAGATGTGATAAGTTGCTGTATCAAATGCAAGGATTATTATTATTCACTGAAAGAGAGCCAGATGAGTTGGCGATTCACCTCTTTGCTGCGGCAGATTAGTGGCCGTATTTGCCTTAATAGCCGCAGCCTCCACTTCAAAGCAGCTCCTTGCGTGAAGCGCTTTGAGATGTTTTGAAGTGACAAAGGCGCTGGCTGTATCAAACATGTTTAATGTTGCAGTGTGATCATGAACAGATAGCACTCTTCTTTCTATGAAAGACACCATTGTGCGGTGCTTGGTAGCAGTTGTATTGCTTTTCCTGCAGAAATTTTCATTGACACTTAGAGTAGAAATACTTGACTGACCGACTGACTGACTGAAGGATTGACTGAATGATGTGCTTACCTGTAGTTTGAGGCAGACAAGCTAGTCAGGAAGTTGATCATCCTGCGCAATGTAAGAGATTTATCAGGTGTCCAATAAGGCAGATGCCATGGACAGCCCAGGAGGTCGCCGATAAAAGGAGCTTTGTTCAGGAACACTGGCCGCCTTGTCTTGACGTCGCTGGGTTTCAGTGGGCTAACCTCCTGCGTCACATGATTAGCTGCAACAACCCGATGTTAGCGGAATGGGTTGAGCTGTTGCCGTCGGCGATGTGGTGGCGCCATAACCCGATCGCTTTCCGGGGAGTAATGGACCCTTCGAAAATAAAATAAATAATAATAATTTGTTCACTCAATCCACGATTGCTTGTGGGACGTCGCTGGGCGCAATTAGCTGCCGCATTTCGCCACAAAACGCACGTCACTCCACTTTACAGGGTGTCCTGTGAAGAGCTTGAGCGCTTTCGTGGTAAGGCGCTATATCAAATTCAAGGAATATTATTAAATTGTTTTTTTTTCCAGTGCCCGAAGCGACGAAGCCAAGTCTAAGCCAGCCCCCTACTGCCACCCCAGTTGGCAGCGTTCCAACACCACCCGGCAACGGTGGTAACAATGCCAAAAGGGCGGTGGCCACCAACGGCCAGCCACAGAACGCCGCCCGCTACCTGCCCCGTGAGGTGCCTCCTCGATTCCGCCAGCACGAGCACAAGGTGTTACTGAAACGCGGGCAGCCCCCTCCGCCTTCCTGCGGGCTTCTCGGAGGTGGTGCGGGGCCTCCCGGGCTGCCGGGGACAAACCCTGGCACCACACAAGCGTCAGCGCAACCCAACGGCCCGCTGCAGCTCGGCGGTGCACCAGCGGGTAAGTACTGCCAGCGTCCAAATCACCCACTGGCCAACAAGGCTCCGTGTTGCAGAAGCAAGCAGTGAATAGTATTGAATTAGTCTTCAAAATCTAACTTTAGTTCATCTAATTTCATTTATTTTGTCCTCTGTTTACCTCACTGTAAGGAGGAACCTGACTGACTGTTGAAATTTTATATTTTCACGGTGGGAAGAAGCAATGTTTTAATTCTTTCTCTTTATTTGCTTTAACTTGGGACATTTTGTTGCAAAGATTTAGAATCGTAATTAGCACTTGTGTCTGTATGCAGGGGGAAAAAATCAAACCAAGTCCCGCTCATAGATTCGCACACAAAATATATAGTCAGTCCACTTCACAGTATCTCCTGTGAAGCGCTTTGAGACGTCTTGACGACCTGATAAGGCGCTATATCAAATGCCAGGATTATTATTATTAGTCTAAGTGCACGTCAAGTGACTGGCCTCTTTCTGTTGTAGATTCAAGCCCTGGGGGTGCTGGTTCAAATTATGCAAGTTCTGCTTGGGGTTCAAGCTCGTCCAGCGCTGATCCCCATCACCACGGCTGGGATAAGTTGATCGTAGACGGGTCTGATATGGAAGCTTGGCCTTGCATCACAGGCAGAGACTCGGAGGCCGCCTCGGAACACGTAGACAATGAAGCTGCTTCCAGCCTGGCCTCTGAGAAGAGCCTGTCGCCAGCAGGGGTCGCTACCAGGAGCGGCAAGGGACCTCCGAGCCAGTGCCCGGCCGGCAACGGGAAGAGTGAATGTAAATTGGGGGCCTGGAACATGGGTCTCGTGCCTAAACCCAGTCAAACAACTTCCATCTCTTCGGAGAGCAAAGAGGGACTCAGCAATTGGAAAAACTTGAGCAGCCCCGACGGAGGGGCGGGCCTGGGCTTGACCTTGAACCCAAACATCAACCCGTCGGCCTGGCCGGTGTTGGGCCAGGAGGGCAACTCTGGTAAAGGGACACTGGAGACGGACATTCTGAGCTCCGGTTCAGTCGGTCAAAGCCCCAGGGATCAGGACGGCACCGCTGCGGGCGCCTGGGCAAAACAGACAAAAGCGGAAAATGCGGGTGTTACATGGAATGCTTCTGTCGGAGAACAGCCTCCAGCTCCGAACACTGATGGACCAAATAACAGCGACACTAACTCTCTGAATCCCGGCTCGCAGAGCAGCGGGAACCCTTTGCAAAACAAGGGAGTGTCCGAAGCAACAGGGAACGGGACCTGGAACATGCCCTTAGGGATGGGCTTGGGAAGCCCCTTGGTATTGAACCAGTCCCCGAGCACTGACTCCTCGTCCGAAGGCAGTATTAGAGCGACTCTGGAAGGACGGGGAACTTGGAATACAGTCTGGGGATCCACTGGAGCCGATTCCATTTCTGGACAGAATGGTATAGGAGCCGATGGCAATAACGTGCAGTGCGGCGACGAGCTGATCAAAACTGGCTCCGTCATGAAACAGTTGCTAGTGAACCGGTCGCGGACTGAATCCTGGGACAATAACGGCGGTCCGTGGGACTCTGAGCCACAAGACCCCGGGAAAGCCAAACACTGGGGGAAAGGGAACAGCAGGACAGCTCCCGGCAGTGCTCAGGGTATGTGGGGTCAACAGCCCGGGGCGGATAACCGCCCCGAAGGGGAATGGGGTAGCTCTCTCAGCGAACAGAACTCTGGCACAGGCGGCTGGGACAATCACAGAGTCAATCCCCTCCCGGAACAGCAAGGAGAGAGCGCGCAGAATCCCCAAACCTGGGCAAAGGCTTCGGGTTCTATTGGCAGCGACTCGGGTCGAGGGAGCAACAAGAAGGGGGGCCCCGGCCCCGAAAGTCACCCCGGGGCCCGTCGTGCAAACAAGATGGACTCTTCCGAGCAGGAGGAGGCGGTGCAGACTGTCATGAACCGGACGGACCTGGACCCCAGGGTGCTGTCCAACAACGGCTGGGGCCAGACTCAGATCAAGCAGAACACCACATGGGACACTGAGGCACCCGCCAGGAACGAGAGGCGCACGGACAAAGGAACCGAAGGGTGGGAGAGCTCTTCTTCCTCCTCCACCACTGCTGCTCCGAGCACTAACTCAGGGGGCTGGGGCGAAGGGCCCGCTCAGAGCAGTCACTGCTCGTCTGGGTGGGGAGAGGCTCCGCAGCCTTCAAGTGCGGAGTGGAAGGACACAAAGAACCCCAGCGGGTGGGTGGATCCAAAGAGCGGCCAAGGTTGGGGTGGCGGGATGCCAGAGGAGAAGCTGCCATCTTGGAACGACGGCCCGAGGGTCAAGGAGTCCGGCTGGGGCGCAAGACAGCAACCGGGTCAGAGCTGGTCAACAAATAACGGCTGGGGAGACGGAGGAGGAGGAGGACAGTCGGCCGACCAGCCCAAAGGGGGCGGTTGGGAGGCTCCGAGCTCGGGCTCCAGGTGGGGCGAGGGAGGCCGAGGCGATGGGGGATCCTGGGGAGGAGGGGGCAACGTCAATGCCAACCCAAGGAGCGGTTGGGAAGAGACCTCGCGGCACCAGGGGTGGGGGGAGACGCCCAAAGCCGCCGCTCCGTCCTCCTGGAACAAGCAGCAAGAACCCCCATTGCCCAGCTCCTGGGGCTCGATGCCCGCCGGGGGCCGGCAATCGGGGCCCAGTTGGGGTCAGGCGACCCCAGTGCCCCCCACCCCTCTGCAGCCCACGCCAAAGGAAGAGGAGCCCACTGGCTGGGAGGAGCCCTCCCCTCAGTCCATTTCGAGGAAAACGGAGATCGACGACGGCACTTCAGCCTGGGGCGACCCCAGCAACTACAGCTACAAACACGTGAACCTGTGGGACAAGAACTCGCAGGGTGAGGGCTCCGGCGGAGGTGGTGCTGGTGGTGGGGGCAGCATGATGCCGCGGGAACAGAACCCGGCCAACCCCGGGACAGGACGAGGCTCCACATCGAGTTCCGGTGAGATTTCACGCTGTCCGTATTGTCTCGTTGCTTCTGGTCAGGGAGCTTACTTCCAGGGTTAGCAATCGGGGGGTGAGGTCCTTCCGTTCTGACGTTGGCACTGACATGAAAGGCGCTTTACAAATGTTGTTGTTTGTTGTTGGAGTGGACATTCGCGTGCCACCTCACTGTGACGGGGTGGGTTCTCTACCGACTTCCTCGCATCGCAAGATGGTGAGCGAAGGGTTGGTTTGTACCCGCTGTTTGAAAGGAAGCCATCTTGTGCGGGTGCGATGAACGTATAGAGTGGGGAGCAGCGGCAAGAGACGGTGCCATGTTCCTCTCTCCATTTACATGTCGGCAAGCAACACAAACAGATTACATTTGCAAAGTGCCTTTCCCGTCGGGAGGAAAGCCCAAGGCGATGGGCAGTCAGGGCTTTGGACCAGAGGCGTGGGTTGTGATCAGGAGTGCAAGGAAGGTGGAGGCAGAGAGGCTGAAGATTCGACTGCCGATAGTAGGGCGGGCCAGGCAACTGCTTATCGCATCATTCATTGTTTTGTGGGGAAAAAGTGTCTTCCCTACGGTGCCGATGTAGGATCTCTGCTCCAACTGGGTCTTGTGCTGCCTTAGCACAGCTAACCTCCCATCGATCGGTTCCAATGTTGCATTTTATTTTAATACATCAAAATAAATTGTGTTAAGTGTGCAGTGCTTTCTGGTGGTGCAAACCGCTTCCCCCGAGGAATGCTCAGAGGCTGAACTGATGGCATAATGCTGTTTGTGTTCCAAGTACCCTTGTTGCCTTGTGTGGTTTTTCTCCTCGGAATAAATTGGGGCTTTTCTTTATTGGAAGGGAAGTCTGAGGTTGGGGCGGGAGGTGTGGTGTGTGTCATACTCCTGTCTCTTCGGAGTCCTGTAGTGTAGTGGTGAGAGCACTTGCCTCGCAATCGAGAGTACCTGGGATTGATTTCTGGGCGGGACGAAACCTTAGGGAAGTTTCCCTACTCCACATGCCTCTGTTTACCTAAGTAAGTAGGAACCTGGTTGCTAGTTGTTTGGGCAATCACTTTCCCTTTAAAAAATAAATAATGGTCACTGAATCCCCAACTGTTTGTGGGAAGCTGCTGTGCGCAATTGGCTGCCACAAAGTTTACAGTTTAAACTTTGTTTTAAGACTTAAACAAAGTCTTCAGTTTACAGTATATCCTGTGAAGCGCTTGGAGATGTCTCGAAGGCATGATAAGGCGCTGAATCAAATGCAAGGATTATTATTATTTATTCATTCTTTCCCCTCCACCACCCCTTCCTTCCCAAAAACCTTGTGCCCACATCCGACTGGCTTGCCGTCCTTGAATAGACTTGGCAGCAGGCAGGTGCAGAGGTGGATTCCAGGAATCCTTAGCTGGTCGTCTGTTGCAACCAGTATTTAGAGGACAGATCAGCCTTTGTGTTCCACAAGCTGCCTCCTCCCCCTTCAACCCCCACCCCCCCCCCCCTCTGCTGGTAAGATGAAACGACAGACTTGGCTTGCCTCCGATCAGAGGTCACAAACCTGTGCCAATTTAACAAGCCAAAAAAAAGGGGGAAGGAATGCAGTTCGGACAGATATGTTGCTGTTTGGATTCTAATTAAATTGCTCAGAGTTCCTGAGTTCTAGAGACCAGCTCCTGACGTGTTTTTTGACATTTTGAATAAGCTTTGGTAAAATAACAGGATTATTTTGGGAAGCAAAATGTAATTTAGACTTCTCATTTTTGGCGCCCTTTCTGTGTGTGTGTGTGTGTATGTGTGTATATTATGTATGTATATACCGGTCATCTTTGTGTGAGGTAAAGACACTTCAGCCTTGAGGACAGGCATCTCTCTCCAAGCGGATCTAATAATAATAGTGATCTTGCATTTGATATAGAGCCTTATCATGTCTTTGAGCCGTCTCAAAGCACTTCACAGTAAAGTGAATTGAACATGTATTTTGTTGGCGGCCAATTGTGCACAGCAGTCTCCCAATTTTTGCCTCCAGGAAAGCGATCCGCCAATCGACTAACGACCGGGTTCTTACTTCCTGCTAGGTAAACAGGCGAATATGTGGAGTAAACAAACTTGCCCAATGTTTCGCCCTGCCCGGGAATCAAACCCAGGTCCTCTCGCTTGCAAGGCGAGTGCTCTAACCACTGAGCTACTGAAATCAACGAGAGATTCAATGATAGAATCATTAAATTGGCGCATATGGTATTTTCTGCTCCTTCCCAGATTATGATTTCCGATGTCTCCTGTTGACGGGAAAGATATCTCTTAACTTCCCCGTTTGGTTTATGAATTTGGGGAAAGATATAAATGAGGATATGCCCCCCCAAAAAAGGATAAAATTGGGATTAAGTTGCGGTCTTTCTGCGTGTTTTGCAGGTTCGAAATCTATGCAGGACGGATGGGCAGGGGGTGACAGACCCCCTGTGACAGGTACCCATCCCCCTAGCTGGGAGGAAGAGGATGACGGAGAAATGGGCCTGTGGAACAGCACAGGAACTCAGGAGACTAACTCGTCCTACAGCTCGTCCAACTGGGCCTCAGGGGGGAAGAAACTTAAGGTGCGTCTGTGCTACTCTATATCCCCCCACCTTCCCCCCCGGCCAGGCTAGTACATGCAGTACCATCAATTTTTTTTTATTTAGGCCAATAGTGCAGGACAATAAATAGAGCAATAGACATGAGCTCCCTCGGCTCAGCGGGGTGGGTGGGGGTTGTATTGGGGTGTGGATGGAGGCGGTAGTTCATGTCATGACGTAGCTTTCCTCAGTCAGAAGGTTTCTTCTAATGTCTTCTTATTCCAGGGCTCCATATCCATGAAAGGTGGGAACAATGACACGTGGATCAACCCTCTCTCTAATCAGTTCTCTAAACTGGGATTACTGGTAAGCATAGCTTTACTGAGCACACTGGAGCCTTGTTTGTTACCACAACTGATTCGCCAGCTAAATTTACACCATTAAACCTGCTGCTCACTAAACGCATTACTTCCTAAGCCTCTTGCGACCAAACGGGATGTCTGTTGGTCGGAAAGAGATTGCCAGTAAGAATGGCAACTGGTTTGGCAGCCTCCTGCTTGACATCTTAATCCCCACTGGTCAGGGCAAAGGTTGAGTAATAATGTTGTGTGGGTGCTTTTCTATTTGAAATTAAGCCAAGTGCTATTATAATTCCTGACCACTATCTCCGTCCCATCACAAACGGCTTCCTGCTGCCGTAGTAATTGGCCCTAGTTTCTTTAAAATATGATGACTGTGTCACGCTGACCACTAAAGGACCATTCATTTTCTTGCTGTGTGTTCTTTTCGCAGAGGGAGTCTTCCGAAGACAGTGTTGGTAACAAGATGGACTTAACGGTTGGTGAGTATGATTCTAACCAGATCGTGAGCTGTTTGGATGAAGAAAGCCCTGCAGCCATTCAGCTCACCATCACAGAATTGTGTGTCAGTCTGGCTCAGGCCTCCTGAGTCAGAAAGTTGTGGGTTCAAGCCCCAAGTTGGGCCTTTGAACAGGAGCTAGAGGTTGTCAGAGGTGCCGTCCTTTGGGTGAGATGTTAAATCTAGGTTGTGTCCACCTGTTCAGGTGGGCATTAAAGATCCTTTGATACAATTCCAAAAGAGAAGGAAGTGTATCTCAGTGCCTTGACCAACAATCTCCCAAATAAAGGGGGCGGAAAATTGTCATTCATTTATGAGCTATGCAGTGTGAAGTCTGATCAGTCACAGCATCAGTCATGTTCCTTTTCCTCTCCCTTTAGGCGGTCTTCCCGACAAAAAGCTGGAGTCTGATAAACGAGGAATGAACATGGATTACAATGGAATGATGAGGAAAGACCGATCAGGATTCCGGCCACCCAATCCCAAAGATTCTCCCTCCACAGACAATGGGCCCTACTTTGAGAAGGTAAGTGCTCTCTCTCTCTCTCTCACTCTGGTAACCACCGTGTCATATTGTTTTTCATTCATCCGGTGTTTGTGTTTAGGTTCTTCAGAGTGAGCTGCCAAGCCAAATGCCTTTACCATCCATGTGTAATTCCAACACTCACTCCTGAGATTAAGTACTTGAACAAAAAAAACATTTTGAAGTGTGTGGGGAATGGTTAGGGGAGCGAGCACTGGCGCAGACACGATGGGGAGAGAGCAGGGAATGGGATTAGAGTAGAGAGCTCCCAGTGGGGGAGTGAGCACCAGCACAGACACGGTGTTGGGAGAGCAGGAATCTCGACCAGCAAACCAGTGACTTTCCAAGAGCGTGAATTCACTGAGTTAGAACAAACTGCATGAGAAATGGTTTGGTTCACGGTATGTGGGTGGGGTGTGTGTGCGCGTGAGTGCATGTGTGGCATGTGCACAGTAACAGTTGGTCATGTATGATGGGTCGCTTGACACGGACCCACATCTCTGTGATTGGAGTATGGCACTAATTTCTCTTGCGCTGTGAGTGACGCCTAATTGCTTTCTGCTCTCGGTTGGTTGTTTTTCTCACTACTCTTCTAGCTCTAACCCCCCTCTCTCTCTCTCTCTGCTGTTATTTTTTTTGTCTGTGCGTCCCATTTCTCCCTCTCCCCCCCCCCACCCCGACTGCATGCTATCTGGCTAACCCTCCTCCAGCTGACCTTGCCTTTCTCCAATCAAGACGGCTGCCTGTCTGACGATGCGTCTGGCTCGCCCTTCTCCCCTCCTCCGAGCTGCAAGCTGTCTCCCTCGGGCTCCACTGTACCTCCTCCTGCCAATCTCAGCTGCATCGGTTCTGTCCTTAACACGCAAAACATTAGCGCTCGACACGTAAGGCTGCTTACTTTCTGGGCGTGTCTGTGTCTGTGCCTGAGATGATGCGATGTCGTAGTGTGTTCCTCTGCTGTGAATAAAGCCTGTGCTTGGGGTGGGGGGAAAAGGAGAAACTCTCTGGTTCTTGATCAAGCTGTGAAGCTTCAAGGGACATCTCAAAGACGTGATGAGGCACCGTATCAAATGCAAGGATTATTATTGCTGCTATTATCATTACAGCGCCTGATCGCGGTTTCGAGAAGTCTCCCAGAGCTTCGCAGAATATACTGTAAAGCGGAGTAACTGCATAGTTTGTGGGCGAAACGCGGCAGCCAATCGCGCACAGCGGCGTCCCACACAAACGGTCCTTAAATGTAAAGTTCTATGAGGCAAAAAAAAACAAACTCCACGCCTCGGTCAGAGCTGCAGTCCCCCCTCTCCCTGTCACAGTCGCTTCCTGTGCAGCGCTGTGTGAACCGTCGCTGAGAGGGGATGTAAATGATGAGTCTCCCTTGTGTGTCATGCGTCTCTTGCAGAGTGGCAATCATGGTCTGTTCGGCAGCAGTGCAGCACAATCCAGAGGTATGCACCCGCCTCAGGTGCCACCCATGAACTCATCACAGCCTAACCTACGGGCTCAAGTGCCTCCACAGTTCCTGCCCCCTCAGGTACGTAACTTGCAATCTTTGTTAGTCGTTGTAACCCTTTGGGACATCCATTCCACAGTTCGTTTGCCTCGCTCCCCACCCTTGCCGCCTGCAAGGCACGTCTCAAGGGTGTCTTCTTCAACTGTGAAGGGCTCTGTGTAAATAAATGTAAGTTGTCGTTTAAGACGCTTATTGATCTCTCGTATTTTCAGGTTCCTGCCTCCATGCTGAAACACGCCCCTCCGAACGGCGCCCTGAACCCAGCCCTCTTCAGCCTTGGTCCCCAACTTTCTTCCCAACAGATAACCATGCTCAGCCAGCTCCCTCAGCTACCCCAGCTACAGCTGGTAAGTTTAAAAACAGCAGCTGCAACAAGTTGCATTTACATAGCGCCCTTCGTGCTTGTTAGCGCCCCGGAGCGCTTGACAGTGGTGGAGTCTGACACCAATCCAGGGGAGGGGGGAGCAGGGAGGTGACTGTAAGCACGATCAAAATGGAAGGTGTTTAGGTGGGATTTGAAAGTAGGGATGGGACAAGGCGGAGGGATTGAGTGAGAGCGTGCTCTTCCTCTCCTCCGTGTTGTGTCTGAGCATGTGTCTGCATACTCCCACTTGACACAGCTTGCTTGACAACATTCCAGCCTCCTTAGCACAGTCGGTTAACTGGTTCTTGTTCGGCACTTGCACATACCTGGACCTGAGGGAAATGGGGAGGAGAAAGGGAAAGGGTGAGTATACAAACTGAGTAGAGAAGGTGCAGGGAAGGGAAAGCTGTGTGCATGTGTCCAGCTTGCCCTGTTGTGGTGGTGGTGATAATAATAATAATAATCCTTGCATTTGGTATAGGGATTTATCCCGTCTCCAAGCGCTTCAAAGGATATGCTGTAAAGTGAATTAGCTGTAGATTTTGTGAGCGTGTCGCTGCAGCCAGTTGCGCACAGTAGTGTCCCACGAACAGTCGTAGATTGAGTGACCCTATTATTTTTACACCAGGAAAAGCGGACCACCAATCATCAACTAGTAGCTGACCTGTGTTTCCCCGAGGCAGCGCGATCGGGAGTGCAGTCACTGAGTGTTTTGCACGCAGTCATTTTGCGCCCAGCGACGTCCCTGCAAACAGCCGCGAAGCTGCTTGACGTGTGTCTTGTCTTGTTCCATTGCAGGCGTACCAGCTCCTGATTCAGCAACAGCAGCAACAGGTGCTGCAGAGCCAGCGGAAGCTCTCGGTCGCAGTCCGACAGCAACAAGAACAGCAGGTAGGAGAGAAGCCAACCGACCGCTGTATCTGTGTGTGAAGCGCTTTGAGATGTGAAAGGCGCTGTGGTCGAGTCCTCTGCTCTTAGCTGACTTGTGGTTTATTTTGTATTGCGTTTGCAAAAAAAAAAATAACATGGAACCTCGCTTCCCCTCCCTCCCTCCCTCCGTGAGCTGTATTCAGTGATTCCCATTGTGTAGTGGTTAGCGCGCTCGCCTCGCAAGCGAGAGGAACCGGGTTCCATTCCCGGCCGGTCACTCAATCCACGACAGTCAATTCACTTCACAGTATATTCTGTGAAGCGCTTTGAGACTTCTCAAAGACGTGGTAATTATTATGATGTTTCCCCCTGCAGCTTGCTCGCATTGTCAGCGCTCTGCAACAGCAGCAGCAGCAGCACCGACACCCCAATGCCCCCGGGATGAAGCACTCGCCCTCACACCCCGGGCTACCCAGGCAACACCTGGACAATGTCGTGCCTAGCTCTCTCTCCTCCGGCCTTCCAGACTTCCAGACCAAAGGACAACTTCAGCCAGGCTACCCCATGGGTAAGGCTCAACATTTCGCTGTGGGTTACCACTTCCTGCGTGTGTTCTCTCTGGCTCTCCCCCTTCCCCACATCCTCCCCCCTCCCCAAACTGCGCTGAGCTGCAGGACAGCCTAGGGGGAGGGAGTTGCTAAACTGTGTGATAGCTGTGTTAAGATCTCCGAGACGCTGCTCTGCACGAGGGGCGTTGTATAAGTGCAAGTTGTTGTTGATATTTCCATATAGAAAGCTGCGTAACCTCATTGGAGTCTCTTGTGTGTGGCGAGTGTGTCTCGTTTGTGTGCGGTGTGTTGGTGGGGGGCGGGAGTAAGACCACTGCCTCGGCCGCAGGTAGGTCAGTGGTACTGTGAAAGCTTTAGCGGTGAAAACGACATGGTTTCTTGCCCTGGTTGACCTGTGCTTGCACTGTACGGCCCTCTTATTAAGAGTTTCATTGTCGGGTGAGTTCACGTCGAGCTTACGGCTGCTGGAGCCATTGTGACCCGTTTTGAGCGCTGGTTACGATTTTGTGGACCTTGGTCTAATAACACTGAGGCGCTATTCTACATGAAGGGCGCTATGTAAGTGCAAGTTCTTGTTATGATAGAGCTGCACTGTATTCATGCTATCCTCTCTCTCTCTGCCCACCAGGCCTGAGTTCAAACATGAACATGAACCAGTTAGACGTCAACAGTATTGTAGGGATGAAGGAGCCTCAGTCTCAGCAGTCGCGGCTCAAGCAATGGACAACCATGGACGGTCTCTCTCCTGCCACTCCACCGCCAGAACACAACCCCCTGAAAAACGGTAACGTCCCATCCCGGTTCAAGTGTGTGTGTGGTGGGGGTGGGGGTTGGGGGAGAGCTGCTTGTCAGTGTTGAGGGGGTTTTGCAGTACAGTTGGTGGGAGGATGTTGGGATAGTAGAGCGTAAGTAATCGGGGAAACTCCAAACTATTCACTGCCCCAACCAACTGTGAGTTTGATTTGGACAAGAAGCTCGACTAAAGGACCAACCAGTCCCACTCCTCCCCCTCCCCCCCGCTCTTGCCCCATAGCCCCACAAGTCTTTTCCTTTTCAAGTGCCTAAATGTACTAAACAGGGAAGTTTAGATGCGTGTTTTGATTTAGTGAACTCGCAGGTAATGGCAAGGTGTAATGTTGTTTGCCCAGGTGCTATTTCGAGCAGTATGGCACCATCGGTGAAGCCTCGCGACAGTCTGCCCTACTACGAGATGATCGCGGGCGACTCCTTGGCCAGCCACTCGGGTCCTGCCAGTGACAACTGGGCCACCCCTAAGCTGTCCAACGGCTCCAGCTCCAGTTGGCCTCCAGGTAGGCGGCCGCCTTAAGCACAATAATAATAATATAATAATAATATACGCACATAGCAGTTCACTGGACGAAAGAAGACTTCAAACGACTTTACAAAATAAACATCTCCACCGTTCCTGCTCCCAGTTTCTCGGTGTCCAATATAGAGCAGGTGCACAATCTCCCCAACCCTATCAGTTTCTGACACACACACACACACGCACAACTGTTGGATTGTGGGTGTCTTCAATGCATCTCTCTCTCTCTCAGAGTTCCGCCCTGGGGAGCCCTGGAAGGGTTTCCAAAGCATCGACCCCGAATCTGACCCCTACGCCACCCCGGCGAGCATGATCAGCAGCTCAGCGGCCCCCCCCTCCCCGGACTCGGAACACCAACTTCTCAGGGACAGGAGCACAGGTACGGACGGACTCCCATTCCCTCTGGGTGTCTTAGCAGAAACCAGGGCGACAGTGTCTGGGCAATGGATGGTGGGACGTGGTGCCTCTCTCTCTCTTTCTCAGTCAGGTTCTGCCACTGTTAAGCGCTCAGAGACGCTATCCTGCGTGGAGGATGCTATATAAGTGCAAGTTGTTGTTGTTCCCTCCCTCTTTCTCTCTCGTACTCGATTGCCGGGAGCTCAAGAGCTCGAGTGGAAAATGAGCTATGAATAGGGACGGAATATCAGCACAGTTGGGCTGTCTCCTCCTCCCAGCCCCCCCCCTCGCTCCTGCTAGTAATCAGAAAGTCAGCAGAAATAGCCATTGTTTGTACTGAGGTTTTTCCTCACTGTTCCCACTCTTGTGTAAAGAGGAGCTGCATGTGTTTGCTACGTGTTTAACTGTACAGCAGGGAGCTCGGTAGTTGTGTCCGACTTCTGCGTATGTTATTTCAGGAGATGACCTAATAACCACACTATTGTCACAACCACAAAAAGCCCTGGTCCCCATTAGCGTGGAGATTCTGCTGTGCACTGCCACCCAGTCCCTCAGTCTCCCCACACACTTGTTGTAAGGAAGACTTTGTCCCTGTGTCATCATAATACTGTCTGCTCTGTCAGCTGCCAGCAAAACCTTTTCACTTGGGGAAAATTGGTCTGAGGGCTGATGACTGACTGGGATTTTGTGTTGCGTTGTCAGTCAGTGATTTATTTTTTCCCCCCCAGATTAGTTGTGGGGCAGGAGGACATGACCTTAAAGGGGGTCAGGACTGGGGAGGGGGGGGGGGGAATGAGTATCTGAAGCGTGCGACCCCAGAAATCTGAGAGACGGGCTGAGAGGAAGGTTAAAGGATGTGGGGAGGAGGGAGGCAGGCGATGTGTTGCTGGACTCTTGACACTGACGTTAATTTGGAGTGCGTCCTCTCTCTCTCTCTCTCTCTCTCTATCTCCCCCTCCCCACATAGGGTCCAGTTCCTCCCTGAACACCTCGCTGCCTTCACCCGGTGCCTGGTCCTATAGTGCCTCAAACAGCTCCTACAGCACCGTACAGAGCACTTCAGGTGAGGTCTTTGGGCGACTTCCTGCCTATTTATTGTCGACGTCCAGCTGCAGACTGACGCCCTGGGACACCGCTCGCTGCCCCTTAAGAGTCCCCCATTTAATTTTAACTTCTCTCAACTGCTTGAGGGTTCCCCCCACCCCGTCTTCAGATCGCTCCTGAAGATATTCCCGTTCGACCACGCCAACAATCGGTCACCTCTCTCAGGCTCTGGGATGGTGGGGAGGGGGGTTGTTGGGGTGGGGGGAAGCGTGTGCTGCCTTTTTGTTGGAGGGTGTCACGTGTTCGCCTTCAGCGATGCTGTCTGCCGGCTCCCGGGCCGGTCCTGTTGTCCGGCAACTTGCTAATCAGCGTGTCCCCCTCTTCCCGTTGCAGCCAAGTTCAACGACTTCAAATCGACCTGGTCGCCGGATCCCATCGGCCATCCCAGGATGTGGAAGAATCAAATCCCCTCGAAGAACACTAACCCCCCCACCCGCCCCCCGCCCGGGCTGAGCAATCAGAAGCCCCCCTCCTCCCCGTGGGGCAGTGGGGCTCCCCGCTTCAGCCGAGGATGGGGACTGCAGGAGTCCCGCTACGTGCCGAGTCAGTGTCTACATCTCCTCCTCCTCCTGCTTGTCTCTGGGTTCTCTCCTGCTTTGGCTGCTCTAATAATAATAATAATCCTTACATTATTATCCCAAATTTTTTTCCCAAAAATAATTAATTTGGTCACTCAACCCACGACTGTCGATTCATTTAACAGCATATCCCGTGAAGCGCACTGAGATTTCTCGAAGACCTGATAAGGCGACGTATCAAATGCGAGGGTTATCATTATTAATATTATTTGATGTGGCCTCTTATCGCCTCTTTGCCAAGCGCTTAACAGAACGCGCTGTGAAGTGAATTGACTGTGTATTTTGTGGGCGAAACGCGGTGGCTAATGGCGCAGGGCAGGGTCCCCGCAAACCGTCGTGGATTGAGGGACCAAATTGTTAATTGTTTTTTTAAAAACTTTAAATTGCAAAGCTAGCCTTGCCCACCTGCTTGAGAGAGAGCTGCTGTGTTGCGATGGTGTTGCTGTGTGTGTGTGTGTGTGTGTGTGGGCGGGGTGTGGGGAGAGAAAGAGACTGCAGATTCAAAGTCTCCTATAAATCCTGATCTCTGACTGTCTCTCTCTCTCTCTCTCCCTAGGTACTAACTGGAGTGACGGAGGTTCGAGCGGATCTGGTCGGGTCAGCTCCTGGCTTGTGCTTCACAATCTCACTCCACAGGTAAATATAACCCACCACCACCACCTCGGCCAGCGAGGAACCCCCGTGGTGTGAGGCGGCGATTGTGGTCCAAAATCCCTGACCGTCCCGACGTGAAAGGCGGGCCGCGTAAAGGCAATGTGCTGCTGCTCTTCCCGTGACGGTTTAACTCCCGTCTCTCTTCCAGATCGACGGCTCAACCCTGCGCACCATCTGCATGCAGCACGGCCCACTGATAACATTCCACCTGAACCTGACCCACGGCACCGCGTTGGTGAGATACAGCACCAAGCAGGAGGCCGCCAAGGCACAGACAGCGTTGCACATGTAAGTCCCGGCCCATCGTTGGCCCGTTCATGAATGCCCCGCGAGGGGAGCTCCACAACCGTGTGGTGTGAGAAGTAATGTAAAGCCTGACAGCTGGTTAGAAGGTTGTACTGGGGGCAGAGTGCTTGAGTATCTGCCGTCGGTATAGGAAAAGGGGTGTGAATGGGATTGCACTCACTCACTCACTCTCACACACATGTATTATTGTGCACACTTGAATGCACAACCTGCTGAGCTGCCCAGAAACATTCGAGGTGTTGGTGCTTTTACGATCCAAGAGGCAATTGTGCGACTGTTTTAATCACGTGTCTGTTTGAATGATGGCCCCTGCGCCATGTGCAGTCTACCCAATTCTCATCGGTGTACGATGTGGGGGTGGGAGGGAGAAGTCAGTGCAGTGCTTCGGGGGCTTTCCCTGTCCCTCCCCTCTCTCCCCCCCCCCCCCCAACGCCGCCGCGCGGAGGGCTTTAGTGACAGGCGTCCTTTCTGCTCGTCCGCCTGTCTGCTGGCCGTTGAGACGGGCTGGTCACAGACTGCTGACCGGGCAGTTCTATTCAGCCGCGCAATTGTTCAGCTGATTAATAAGGAAGGGAAAATCGTTGGGTGGGAAAAATGTTTTTTTTTACATATTAATAGTAACGTGCACAAATTGAGGGGAGTGGGGGAGGGAGAATTCATGCACATATTAGATCAGGAGCAAGGTTTCTACTCTCTCCTGTTCCTCTCCATCACACACGCACTCAGAGGACTACACCCCCCCACCTCCATGCGTACACACACACCCTGCCACACACACACATGACTGCAGTTGAGAGTGTCTCTCAGATGTATAGAGAGTTGATAGTAGTGAGCAGCATTACTCCAGTTGACACTGGAGACTAATCCTTGGATCAGTGTTAAGTCGACTGGGCCCCTGAACCTGCGACTGGTTGTTTTAACCTGAGAGAGGCTTTGTGTGGTTAGGGCGCAGTGGCTGGGTGTATTGTGCACTCACTCTGCGTTCAGATCCAATCTGCCCCTGTTTATTCTTTCTGAGGGGACAGTTAATGTGACCCAGTGGGTTTAGCAGCAATGGTGATCGTGATCAGAGTGACGACAGCGGAACTCCCCTGGTGTACGACTCAATTCAAGTCACTGAAAGGTCCCGGGCTGCTTTGTGGGATACTTGCTGCTTGTGCGCAATTGGCTGCCGCGTGTCGCCCGCAAAATACAGTCGAGTCACTTGACAGTGTGTCCTGTGAATCGCTTTGAGACGTCTGGTTGACGTGATGAGGCGCCGTATCAAATGTGAGGATGATTATTGTTATTCCTCCCCTCCTCCATGCAGGTGTGTGTTGGGGAACACTACCATCCTTGCTGAGTTTGTCAGCGAAGAGGAAGTCAATCGCTATTTTGCACAAGGTCAGTTATCCACGCCATCTCCGGGCTGGCAGACACTGGAGACAGGACAGAGCCAGATGGAGCCGGTGGGGAGCAGCCTGCACTCATTCGGGGGGCGCAGCCTGCTCAGCCAGTGGAACAGTGGGGGTCCGGCAGTCAACAGGGGCAGCAGTAACCTGGCGGGTGCCTCTCTCTGGGGGACCACAAACTACACGGCCAGCTTATGGGGTTCCCCAGCCTCGGAGGACTCACACAGGATGGGCAGCCCTGCTCCCTTGCTACCCGGTGACCTGCTGGGAGGAGGGGGCGATTCGATCTGAAATTTGAAACTCTTTAAGCTTTTTTCAACCTTTAGACCTGTGACGAACGACCTCGTGAACATTTTTTTTTCGTTGGAACAGCAGCACTAATTAATCTGTGTATTTTTTTTTCAAACTGCAATAAGTTTTGAAAAAAACGAGAGTTTAAAACAAAAATGGAAGTGGGGGTGTGGTGGGGGCGCCGGGCGGTTGGGGGTGGGGGGTAAAGGAGAATAAACTTTAAGTAAGTAGGGGGCGGGGGGTATGGTGTGTGTGTGTTGGGGGGGGGGGGGGAGGGGGGGAAAGGGGGTGTTAAGCCCGCAGTCTTTTTAATGTGCACATAGACTCCTTTCCCCCCTCCTCAGCTCCCCCATTCTCCGTCTCCCCCCCCCCCCCCCCCCCCCAACCTCCGGATTTCCGCCTCGCTTTTTTTTCTCCTTACCGCCCCCCACCCCAGCACCCCCCCCCCCACCACCTCCTCCCCCAGGAAAGGAAAATAAAAAAAATTACAAAACCTAAACACACACATAAAATTAAACAAAAAAAAAATAACATATCATACTTCAAAGAATACTTGAATCATGGAACGCCAACATTTAAAATGTGAAGTTACACTCGCCATCAAAACGAAGCAAGATAAGTAAATAAATAAATACCTTTTTATTAAAAGAAATAAGTAGTTTTACTTTTCCTTATTTGGTTATTTACCCCATCGCCACCCTCGTTCTTCCCCTCCCCCACTCCCTCCCGCGCAATCCCTCTGTTAAAGGGACATAACTAGTGTTGCAAGAGGGGGGGGCATTTACTGTATAGAAACATAACACACCCCAAGTCCTAGGCACCTTTCCGTCCTACCCTCTGATATCCCACTGCATACACCCTCTTGTGTCGAGCTTCCTGGTATAGGTCAACACCCAACCCAATCCTCTTGTCGTTTGCTGACTCTATGCCCATGTCCCAAGGCAACCTCACCCTCACCCCCAAACCTCTGCCAGACCTGACCCATGTTTTCTTTTTGAAGTTGGAGCAGGATTGTGTGTGTGTGTGTGTGAGTGTGTGTGTGGTGGGGCGGGTGGGGGGGAGAAACAACTTCTGGTTTTTCCGCAGCTCTTCCAGAAGAAAAAACGTTCGAAGAGTCGAGAGTGAGCCTGAGAATCTACCCGCAATCCTGCTCCATCTTGGGAATATTGAGCAGAACGGGGAAAGGGAGAGGTTGGGTCGGGTTTGGTGGGTCTTGGCGAGAGAGAGATTGCGTTGAGGGAGAGTTATTGGGAAGCATGGCCTTTGCCAACCTGCGTATGTGATGTGTGAGGTGGGTGGGGGGAGTGCGATGAATGCCTATCACCAGAGGCATTGTGTGTATCTTCCCAATACTTACAGTGGGGTTATGGTTGTGGTTCTGACAGGCTGAGGCTTGCTGTGGACATTTCAGGGCCAAACCTGTCGTGTGCACTTTTAACGGATAAATATATCTAATATCTTTTTGGGTTTTTTAAAAAGAAAGTGCCATATCTAGCCCCAGGTCTGTGTGTGTGCAGTACAACTCCTTCTCCCCCCCCCCCCCCCATACTCTAGGCAGGTTGTGTGTGTAAGGGTCCTGTTCCGAGTTCAGATGTTTTTCCATGTAACCAGCATCCGTCAGACTTGCATCTGGGACTAAGGTGTTTGAACACGTACATTGGCCCTCCCTCCCGTGTTTTACACCAGGATCCCAGGTGTGACCTTTTTGGCTTGAGTTCCCATCCCCCCAAAAGAGATTCGGAGTCGATTGATCCAAAGACAGGTTGCCTTCCTTTTGCCTCCCTCTCTACAGCCCCACCCTCTCCCCTCTCTTCTCTCCCTTCCCCACCCCCCACCCCCTCCCAAAAAAAAATGCAGTACAGATGAACAATTTTAATTGAGCATTAGTTTAAACTCCCAACCCCTTCACTACAACGCTGCCTTTTCGAGGATCCCAGAGGGAGTGTTTCAAAGAACAAGACTGCTGTAAAGCAGGGATAACTGACTACCTTCCTTAAGCAAATTCCCTGTACAGTGATCTAATGTTAAATGTAAGTCAGCCAGAGATAATAGCAGCTCCCGAACCGCCTTCGATTGCAACCCTCGAGCTAAAACAAGTACTGCGACATTATTACATGGTGTTTTATTGTTGCTGTATATTGCCGTTAACCTAGTCTTGTGTTTATGGATCATTTTATCATGTGCTATGTTTTTTAAGCTTTACAGTAGTCTCTACGTGGGTCTGTTTAAACAAAAATATGTTGCTGTCTTAAAAAAAAACTGCTACACAATGTATGTAAGCACTTAAAGGAGAGGGAGCGGGAGAGTGAGAGAGAAACAGCTTAAGTTAGAAAAACGTAGTGTGAATTATTTTTTATTTCAGTGTACGTACGTATATTGCACTCTGTTTCAAAGTGCTGGGGATTTCTTAATGTGTACTGTAACAGATTTAATCCCTTTGTTGTGGTGAAACGGGGGGCACGGCAGATGAGGTAACCCCTCCATCACCCTTCTCCCCTCCGTCAAGGGATATTCAATTCAGCACACTCGGTTTAATCAAACAAAGGTATTACCGTGTAATTTACTTACACAATGTGATGTAGTTCTGTTTCATTTCCCCCCGCCCCCCCCCCCCCCTTCTATCCCTTCCTTGAGTTCATCTGCCTGTGTTTTTTTTATTTTACAAAACAAAATCCATCCTATGCATAAATGTGCCCATCTGCTCAGCCTGCCTGCTTCGAGGTCCCCTCTCTGAGCTGTGTCCTGCCCACACACGCTCTGTCTCACACCTCTCTCTCACACACACACACACACACACACACACACACACGAGCTTCAAACGCACAGACCATTTCTCAGTACCAACATGTTTACACACTCAGTCCTGGCTGTCTTGTCGTCTCGACTCCCACAAGGGCTTCCTGTCCTATCAGCAGGGAATTTTTGAATAAGCGGAGTGGTTTTACAATGGTGGGGTGGGGGGGGGGGGGGATTGGGTGGGGCAGTAATCATAAACCCATGCTTTTAGCAGGTTTTTCTTTGTCGTTGTGTCTTGTTTGTTTCTAGCAATGTTTGTTCTTTCTGTGAAGTTTCGCTCGGTGTGTCACACACCTGCACGTGGCTGTTATCTACAGGCGTGTCTGAAGTACGATGATATTTACTGTAAAAACAATTTTAGTAGGGTTAGGTTTTACAAGGTTATGTAACGGGGTTTGCTCTGGGATTCAGAAATGTTTATACCATATGTAAGCGTGTGTGTTTGCACATATGTGCCTGGTTTCCCCCTCCCCCCCCCCCCCCCCCAGTAACACACGTGTATGCGTTTGTGTGGGGGGAGGGATCGGGCTGCACATAGGAATAATTTTAACAGTCCTGGTGTTAAAGGACCATTGAACAAAAGATTGAAAGGTCCCAAACGACAAAGAGAAGAAACAAAAAATCTTTTATCAATAAATAAAAAGTGTTTTTCTTTTAGAAGTAAAAAATGTTAATGGAGCGAAATATGTTAATTGAGTAATATACTGCGGTAGTGACTACCTGAATTAGTAGCTCAGTGTCTTTCCTCTCTCTCTTCCCCGCCCCCCCCCCCCCCAACACCACCCCAATTCCCTGACCTTCTTGACAGCTATAGACACCTGTTATAACCTTGCTATGGTTTGCATGTGTGTTGGGTGCGATGGTGGTGGGAGAAGGGGGGTGTGGGTATGATGCTACACGTTGGGGGAAGAGAGGGGGTGGGGGGGATTTGATCTGTACCCAAAGTGGGAGCATCTTGGCTGGTGCTTAGCACAAATTCAGTTATTGATGGAATGTGGAGCACAGAGTACACTGAGTTGTCAGTCACTACAAAAAAACAAATGGGTTTACTTGCACCATTGCTAAATAAAATAGATTGGGGGTCGGGGGAGAAGTGGATTGTGCTCTGGTTTCTCATACCCGTGCTGACTGACCTTTGCTTGGGTGCAGTGAGGGGGTGGGTGGGGGGGGGTTATAGACTTAGAGCATTGACTTAATTAGGCAGTTAATTTCGCTCATTTTTGCTGTTAAGCGTTGCACCTTTTCTTTCGTGTTTTGCCTTCATGGCACTGTTTTTTCCACAAAGGATGATTGCAGCGTTGTGTTATGTGAAGACTTGGGGGAGAGGGGGTGACTGGAGAGTCAGGGCTAATCTCTGTACAAGGTCTCTGCTCTTTCACCTTTCTTTCCTCCCCGTCACTCTCTCCCTCGCCCCGTGATAAAGTACTCTTTGATCTCATCCCCAATTCTCTCATACTCTCTACCCTCCCCACCCCCCTCCCCCCCTAACAAGTTTGGCTCAGTGGGGGAAGGATATGAGAGGAGAGCGAATTGGAGATGAGATCAAAGAGGAACGGCATTTTGGAGTTTGTTGTTTGAGTGTGTCGGACGGGTGCCTAAGTTGTCTTAAGATCTCTTCCCCCATTTGTTTCCCATGCTAACTGCAAATGTTTTTCTTAAAGAAGTAGTTTGGTTTGGCCATTAATCCAGATTAATGTTTGCTGACGGTCAGGTGCACTAGACCCATATTTGCGTATCGCCCGCAATTGGAGACGTCTCAACGTGACTTAACGGGGAAGACTGCAAGCATTCTCTTTAACTGTTGAGGCCGGTGGCATTAGGTGCTGTGTAGATCTGTCAATAGGACGTGAGCCGGAGCAAAATATTCCTATTCAACCTCTCTTGATAGTTGACTGAAATATTACACGGTTTTGGGTGGGGGGAGATTTGACTAATCTAAAACATTCTTACATCAAAAAAGACCAAAAACGAGTGTGTGTGTGTCTGTGTGACTGCACATTGTGTGTGAGTGTGTGTGTGTGTATGTGTGAGTGTGTGTGTGGTCCTTTCATATGAACAGTAACTAACCGGCAAAGGCATGTCTTGTGATGGTGTTTTGCCTTGTTCTGGCGAGGTGTTTTTTGGGGGTGGGGGGGGGATGTTTTTGACTGGTTTAAGGTCCCTGTTGCTTCTGTTGGTCCTCCTTTCACTCCTAAAACCAAAAGGAAATTTCTCAGGAATTTTTAAGTCTTGGTCTCAATGGGGAAAACGTACAACTTTTGCAAATTTTAAGAAAAAAGAGTAATGAGCAAAGCCACTTAATGTCTGACCAGAGAGCTCTCTCTCTCTCTCTCCCCCCCCCCCCCTCTCTCCCTTCCCCACCAAGGCAGGGTTCTCTCTCTCTCTCCCTTCTAGCCCTCGAGGAGCTGTGGAAATCTCTCCCAGCGAGCGGGAGCCCATTCCTGCCTGGCACTTCGGAGTAAGGTGTTGTAGGAATGTCTCCCAGCAGCATTGAGAATTCCCTACCACGTTTTTTTCGCAATTAAGCAAAGGCGCCTCTCGATCCCTCAGAACTGTGTCCTTGTGCACATGTCATCTGGATGTAGAGATTTCCCCCCTTTCCTTCCTCTGCCCCCCTTCTCCCCCCCCCCCCCCCCAGTGAGGCTTCACCAATTGGCATTTGAAGAACATTGTCTCTGATATTCCTTCTCAGTTGTTCTCTTAAACCAACAGATGGATTAGGGGTGTACCCCAGTGCTTTCTCTCTCCCCCCCCCTCTCTCTCTCTCTCTACCCCCCATTCTCTCTCTCTCTCTTCCCCCCCCCCCCCCCACCTCTCTCCCTCCTCATTCAGTAGCCTGTGTTTACATGAAGGATTGAATTCAGGTTGGATTAGGTTTTAATCCAGTTGAATCGATCTCTCTTCCCCCCACCCACCACCACCACCCACTTCCTTCCCCCCCCACTTTGTCCCCCAGTTTCTGCGTATGGCACCTTGCCTTACCCCCCCCCCCCCCCCCCCCCCCGAAGTTATTTGTACATGTCGTGAGGAATAAGGGACACAGATACAATCTGGGGGAGGGGGAGCAGTGGGTGGGAGGGGGGGGTCCATGATTTCCGCCGTTTACAAGGTTGGTTTGGAGACCGCTGGTGTGTTGTGTGTGTCGGCTCAGACACACAGTGTTGCGCAGAGCAGAAACGTCTGCAGTTTACAAGCGCGTGTGGACGCTGCAGTTGTCTGGTCTTGAGGGGAGGGGGGAAGCAAAGCACTCCAGTGTTTGGGGGGGGTAGAGGTTTAAGGAGAGCTGTACAACGTTTCCTCTCAGGAGATGTCTCTTATCTGATCTCACTTGCAGTCAGTTTCAGACACTTAAATCAGTATATCATTAACCTGTACAGTAGCCCGCAGGCAGATTTCATTAGCCCAAAGGAAAAGCATAACTTATTCAGAGTACTGTGAATTCTATTATATACACACACACACATATATATATAAATCAAAATACTGTGTAGTTCCGTAGGTTTCTTGAATTCTGTTTTTTTTAAAATAACTAAATTAATGCTGTTGTTATAATGTTGGGCGATTTAGAAATCCGCAGGGGTGTGTGTGCGTGTGTTTTTGCTGGTGTGTGTGAGTGTGTTTTTTGCTGGTTGTGTGTGTATTTTTTTTGCTCGTGAGTTTTGGAAAACACGTGCACTTTTTTTTTTTTTTTTGCCATACGTTTTAACGCGCGCCTGCCCTCGTCTGAGGGGGGGAAAAAATAACTAAATAAATAGCTTAAATACCCGAATAGGTAAGGAAATAAAAGGTGACTATTTTTGTGTGTGCGTGTGTCAAGCTGGGGTAATCGCTATGCTTTGGCGTGTTGGAAGAGTTGAGGCTTCGTGGGCAGGAGTTATTTCGGAATAACTGTTCCCCTCTGCATCCCCCCCCCCCCCCAAAAAAAAAAATCAAAAGTGGGGCACTCTGTCTGTCTGGGTGTGAGCGAGTGTGTGAGTGTGTTTGCACCAGCATCTCCAATAGCTGTTAATTTTTTCTCCCTCCTTCTCTTCCCCCCCCCCCCCCCCACAACATCACCACCAGTTGCTTTGAAATTCTAGTGGAAGAATTTGTTTGAAACACGTCGCCACACATTGAGACACAGAGATGCGTACGTTTCTCTCTTGCAAGCAAGCAACCCCTTCCACTCTCTCACCCCCACTCCCTTCTGTTCCTCTTCCCCCTTCCTCGGTTTCCCTCCTCCCCCCGTCCCCCCCACCCCCACCCCCCCATTGCTTTCATTTCAGAGTTTCCTCTGTGCCCAGGCTGAAGGTGGGTGGGTGGGTTCATAGCGAACAGTCATTGTGTGTGGTTTGAGGGGGTGGGAGAGGAGGAGAAATGTCCCACGAAAACCTGGGAAAGGCAGGACTGAGATGCATCAAAGAAAATGAATGTATTTCACCTTTAAAGAAAACTTAGCTGCAAAAAAAAAGTTGATTTAAAGGGAGTGTATTACTAGAACGGGAGGAAGGGAGAGAGATGAGGAAAGAGAGAGTGGGGTGCGGGTGGGGGGGGGGAATTAACAAACAAAAAATCTTGAGAACTATGCATTCAATAACCAGGAGAGGTACTTAATAAAAAAAGAGAATTTAAATAAAAAAATCACTGGTTCATTAAGAAAAAAAATGTTGCTCCAAATAGTTGTATAAATAAGCTTCAATTTTGTTTTTGTTTTTTTTGGCCATAGATATGGTACTGTATTCCCACTGCTGGAATAATAAGGGTGATTTTTTTTATATATCAGAGAGAGAGAGAGAGAGCAAAAAGTTATAAGAAAGTCTGTCATTTCATCAAACGAAAAATGTTTGTTCTGATGCGCGTATATATATAAAGAATTTTGAATTATTATTTTTTTGCTTTTATCCGTGGTTTGTTTTTTGAGGACGTGGATTGTATTATGTGCAACACAGTTGCTTCAGTGGACTACAAAAAAAAAACATTTTTTTCTCGGAAAACAAATAAAAACGTTGTGTTTGGCTGCTAAGCATTATCTCTGGGGTCTCGGCAGTGTGTTTCTTTATTTCCAATTGAGAAAAAAAATATACGCTGCGTTGTCTGTCTTCGTTACGCGCAACCACACAGGGTCCTGCAGCATGTTGGTTAGGTGAGTTTCCTTACTCCACACACACCTTTGTTTACCAGCAGTAAGTCGGAACCTCGTTAGTCATTGCATTCAATCCATTGTAAAAAATAATAGTAATTTGGTCACTCAATCCACGGCTGCTTGTGGGACACAATTGTTGTGCGCAATTGGCTGCTGCGTCTCACCTACAAAATTTGCAGTGCATTCTGTGAAGCGCTTTGAGATGACTTTTGACGTCGTGATAAGACGCTATATCAAATGTAAGTTATTTTTCTAAGTGACTTGAGTTCTGCAATTGTACATGTAACGTTGCACGTACAAATTGGCTAAAACATCCATTGAGGATCTCCGAAGTTGAATTACTTTCACTGTACACATACTGGAGTTTCTCCCATTATCATTCTCCTGCGTGTGTGTGTGATCTCAGTCCTCCTCCCGGGAAAGAAACCAAAGCTTTGCTCTAAGCAAAAGAGAGCAAGTGGGGGGGAAAAAAATAGAATAATCCTGGCGTTTGTTAGTGTTGAAGATAAGTCACATTGATAATGCATGAGATTTATTGCCGTGTGTGGAAGGGAGGATCAGCAGGATCTCCGCTGAGCTGAGCTGAGCCGGATCCACTGTGATGTGCTTAGCACCCGAATGCCGGCATCAAGTCCCCCTTCTCTGTGTCAATCCGGTTCCTGAGCCGCGTAGCTCCGCAGTACTCCAGAGCAGCCCCGGCTCATCGGCAGGAAGGTGGAGGAACCGACCGGTTACTGGAAAGCAAGGAATTTTCCCCCACTCGGGCTCCTATTAACCCTTCAAGCCAAAAACTGGTTGGGTGGCCGTAGCTGGACAGGTGGCAGAAAGCTGGCGCTCGCCATGGGCAAGCGGTCCGGGTTTAGCTGCTTAAAACTCCTGCGGTCAACCCGACCCAACCCACACTTGGCCTAGTTGGGGGTGTCCAAGTCTTGGCTCGTGCCAACCTGCGCCTGACACAGTGGGAATAGGAGAGAGTACATGATGTTCCAATACCTGCTCAGGCAGAGTTGCCAGGATCAAAGATGGCGGCGGTTTTCGTGGGCACCACGTGACGCGGAGTTGCCAGGACCAGGCCGAGGTCACCCGCGGGCGGGGGGAGGGGTCACCGTGTGACCCGGAAACACAACGTCCACAGCCCGAGAGCAAAGATGTCGGACAACGAGGCCGAGTGAGTGTGAGGGAGAGGGAGTGAGGGAGAGGGAGTGAGTGGGGGAGAGGGAGTGTGAGGGAGAAGGGGAGAGAGTGTGAGGGGGAGAGAGAGGGAGTGTGAGGGAGGAAAGGAGAGAGAGAAATAGAGGGTAAGAGAGAGAAAGAGTGAGGGAGAGTGTGAAAGAGAGCGAGAAATGGGGAGAGAAAGAGTGAGTGTGTTGGTGAGAGAGAGGGAGAGAGGGGGCGCGCGCGGTGGGGTGTGGGGGGCGCGCGCGGGTGTGGGGGGCGCGCGCGGTGGGGGGGGGGCGCGCGCGGTGGGGTGTGGGGGGCGCGCGCGGTGAGGGGGGGGGCGCGCGCGGTGGGGGGGGCGGGGGGGGGTGGGGGGGGCGCGCGCGGTGGGGGGGGGGCGCGGGGGGTGTGGGGGGCGCGGGGGGTAGTTTTGGCGGTTGGTTGACACCATTCCCGCCGTCTCCCGCCCACAGCTTCGATGGGGACGACTTTGACGATGGCGACGAAGATGAGGGGATGGATGATTTGGACAACGTGGAGGAGGTGAGTCTGTGTTGGTGTGAGTGAGTGTGAGTGTCTGTTGGGGAGTGAGTGTGAGTGTCTGGTGGGGAGTGAGTGTGTGTCCTGTTGGGGAGTGAGTGAGTGTGTGTCCTGTTGGGGAGTGAGTGTGTGTCCTGTTGGGGAGTGAGTGAGTGTGTGTCCTGTTGGGGAGTGAGTGAGTGTGTGTCCTGTTGGGGAGCGAGTGAGTGTGAGTGTCTGTTGGGGAGTGAGTGAGTGTGAGTGTCTGGTGGGGAGTGAGTGAGTGTGAGTGACCGCCTGTCTCTCTCTGCCTGTTACAGGAGGACCGTGAGAATGTGGAGATCCTGCCGGCCGGGGAAGGACAACAAGCGAACCAGAAGAGGATCACAACCTCCTACATGACCAAATACGAGCGAGCCCGTGTGCTGGGGACCCGCGCCCTCCAGATAGCGTGAGACAAATAACCCCCTCCCTCCCACTGGCGGCCACACACACACACACACACACACACACAATCTCTCTTACTCTCTACATCTCTCTCTTGCACACTCTCCTCTATCTGTGTGGGTGTGTGTGGGTCTGTGCCTCTCACTTACACTCTCTCTCTCTCTCCACAGCATGTGTGCCCCAGTGATGGTGGAGCTGGAAGGAGAGACTGACCCACTACAGATTGCAATGAAAGAGCTTAAGTAAGTAGCCCGGCCTTAACCGCTCGCTCTCGACACGCAGCGACTCCCGGTATTAAAGTATAACAACAATCCCTGTGTTTGATACTGCGCCTTATCGCATCGTTCAGCCGTCTCAAAGCGCTTCACAGTATATACCGTAGAGGGAGGGACTGTATTATGTGGACCCAAAATTATCATTTTCATATGAAATAATCACATCGTGGATCTCTGTCTCACTCTCTCTCACACTCTCTCTCTCTCACTCATTCAATCTATTCCTCACCTCAGAGCCCGGAAAATCCCGATCATTATCCGCAGATACCTCCCAGACGGGAGCTACGAGGACTGGGGTGTGGATGAGCTGATTATCACGGACTGAAGGGGTTTAATCCCACACTGGTACCCTCACCCACACCCGCTGACTCTGGACCTTTAATTTAAAGTTATTTTTTCTAAATAAGATTGTCTGTTGTCAAATAAAGTTTGGCCACACAGTGTGTGTGTTGTGCGTTGTGTGATTGTGGTGCCCCCACGCTCTGGCACTCCCTCTGCATCCCCCCCCCCCCCCACCCCACGCTTGCCTCCTTTGAGGCCCCGTCTCAAGACCCCCCCACTTCGACCGTGCCCTCAGTCACCCTCCTACCCTCCTGATCCCAACCCCCAACTCGGGTCCAAATCCTCCCGACGTGAGAGGCGCTGTGTAAATGTCATTTGTCGTTGTTGTTGAAGGAACAATGTGACTCAGAGCTGATGTCTGCACGTCAGCCCGGCCTCACCTGTCCGAGCTGCACAGTCTGTTTCAAGAAAAGAAATGAGACAGATTTCTGCTAGAAAATCATATCTGGGGGGAGACAGTGTATAGTCTGGGACACGACATGTCAAGCGATGGCCAGGATGGTGGAAGGCCAACTGGATGGACCTTTGGGCTTCTTCCGTCCAGCGAGTCCTTATGTTCTGCGTTGCGTTCGGGCGCTATTGGGGAAAAGAGAACTGAGCTCCTGGCCGACCATTTGCAGGGCGATGGGGTACGAACGGGTGGAGTGGGACGAGTTGGTGGCTCTTTCGAACACGAATGGCCTCGTCCCTGTGCTGTAAGATTCTCAAACCGCTCGCTCACTTCGTGGCTGTTTGCCAGGCCCGGCTGCGTGCGCCGTGACCGGCCAGAAGCACAGTCGCAGTATTTTAGGGATTATCGTTATCGCCGTTGTTGTTCTTGTTACGTTAGTGAAATTCTGTGAAGCGCTTTGCGGTGTTCGGATGACTCGCCCGGTAATGCGCAGATTATTACGGGAAACCGGGGGAGGAACGAGAAAGTGAAAGAGCCCCCGACAACACCAGAGAGAGTGAGTGTGTGAGAGAGAGAGAGAGAAAGAGAGAGAGAGAGAGAGAGAGGGATGAACAGTGACGCAGTTAAATCCAGTTACACAGGGAATGGGATGGAATTCTAATGGAGGAGATTAAATGGCGCCCTCCTGTGGCGGCGATTCCACATTGCACCACAACCGTCCAGTCTTCTTCCCTGAGCCGGGAGGGGCCGCAGTGTCCCTGATGGCGGCCCGGCCCGGCCCGGCTCATGGGCAGGACCTGGAAGTGCTGACCAGCCACTGGGGGCAGGGAATCCCCCCCCTCAGCTCCTGTTAACCCCACAGCCAAAGCCCCAACTAACTAACTAGCGGGGAGGGGGGGTCGGAGCTGGACACGCAGCGGGAAAGCTTGGCCAGACAGCGCTCTCTCTCTCTCTCTCTCCTCTCTCTCTCAGTGGCCGAGCTGTGTGTTGGTTTAGTTGGTTAGACTCCAGCAGTTACCCCAATGCACACTCTGGGTTTCCTCACCTCCCACCGCCCCCCCCCCCCCAATCCCAAGCCTTTCCTCTTGCCAACGTGCACCTAATACTATCTGGAATGCTCCTCTCCCCCCCCCCCCCCCACCACCAGCCTTGGCTCTTGCAGAGGGAAGAGAATTATTAAGGTGGTTTGAAGGGTAAGGTGCATTTACTATGAACCTGATAGCAAGAGGTGAAGAGCGCCTCTTTCCCCCTCTCTTCCCCTCTCACTCTCCCCGTTGCTGCACTGGATTAATAAGCTCTAAAAGCATGTCAGTCAGTGAGTGGAGCTGTGTTTGTGTGTGTATATATATATATATATATCACACACACACAGTCTTACTCTTTCTGCCCCATTCACACATTTCTCTCGCTATCTATATATAATGTATATATTTGCCTCTTTCTCGCTCTCTGTCTCCCTTTTTCTCTCTGTCATTCCTACTCTCTCTCTCTGTCGCCCTCTCTCTTTCTCCCTCTCTGAATCTTCGTCTATCTCTCTCTGGTAGTCAGTCAACGCTCAGGGAGGGAATGGTAGAGATGAACATGATGGTGTGGGTGGTTGAGGGGGTTGGTGAGAGGAGGTTGCCACGGCGATGGCTCATTTTCCTCCGCGTGAATGATAAAGGGAGAGAGAGAGAGAAAGAAAGGAGGAGAGAAATGTGGCTGCAGGGGCTTCTCAGGGGTATCAGGAGCCGGAGCTGATAAAAGGTGCCATTGTTTGAGGCAGTGACACCAGGCAATGTTTATCAGAACAGCGGTATCACTTACACCGCCCCAGAGAGGGAGCCAAGGGAACCCTGTAACCACAACCTCAGGAGATCTCAGCATAGAGAGCGAGAGAGAGAGAGAGAGAGAGAGCAAGGGCACACCTGGGCACTCTCTGTTAACTCCTTCAGCCCTGCGTGCTGTCAATCGTCGAATCTTCCAGCGCCGAAGGAGGCCATTTGGCCCGTCGTGCCCGTGTCCATGCCGGCACTTTGGAAGAGCTGCCCAATCGGTCCCAGGCCGCGAGGAAAAAGAAGAGAGAGAAATTGATGGGAGGGAGAGAAAAAGATAAATAATAGTCTTCACATTTGATACCACGCCTGATCACGTCTTCGAGACGCTTCAAAGCGCTTCACGGGATACACTGTAAAGTGTAGAGACTGTATATTTTGTGGTCGAAATGAATGAGAAAGGTGGGGGTGGGGGAGAGAGAGAAAGAATGAGAGGGGGAGTGTGCGGGGTGCGGGGGAGGGAGAAAGAATGAGTGGGGGTCTCGGGGAGGTTGAGAGAAAAGTGCAGAGAGAACAGTGAGTGGGAGAGAGACACACATCCTGAAATATAAGGCAGGTTTCTCTGGATACAGGAAAAGTCTTGTTACCAACTGGGTGATGGATTATCGCTAAAATGCCAACGTAAATACCACATTTGACTCTCTCTCTCTCTCACCTGGGCTGAGGGGGTGGGGGGGGGGGTGACAGCCTCTCACGTTATCACTGCCAGACCTGCTAAAAGCCCCTTCATTAACACACACACACACAGACACACACATATCACGGTAAAAGACGCTAAAACCTCGCCCACCCCAACCCGGTCCGTGCCTTGTTCGGGCGGACCTTAAAAATCCCCTGTGACGCTGTCGGGAAAAGTCAAAGGGTTTTTCTCTCTCTCTCTCTCTCTCTCCCCCTCGGGGTCTTGGCCAACAATCCCCCCGAAAAAAATCGCTCTTTCACGTCACGACTGTGTGGGGGGACGTCGTCGTGTGCGAATTGGCTGCCACGCTTCGCCCACAGAATAACACAGTCACTGCACTTGCTGGTATACCGCGTGAAGCGCTTTGAGACGTCTCGAAGACGTGATCGGGCGCTGTGTTCAAATGCAAGGATTATTATGATGATGACGACGATGTGGAGCACAGTGGGTGTGTGTGGGGGAGAGGGTGAGGGGGGGGTGGTGTCGGAGTGTGCATGTGTGGGGGGGTTGGGGTGGGGGGGGTTCAGGTGAAGGGTTAATCACGGCTGGGCCGAGACCGAGTGTGTAATCATGTTACTGACGCAAACGCTCAGTATAATCGAGCCCTTTGTGCTGAGCTGTGGAGCTGAGTGCAGTCACTCCTGACCACACTCTGGGTCTCGCGCTCTCGCCCTGAATGTTAAATGGCTCCATTGTTGCTGCTGCTCTCAGGAAACCGATGGGGATTACCACTCTCTGCCTTGAGCTGGGCGCACGTGTGTGTGGTGGTGGTGGTGGGGGGGAGTGGGGGGGTTTAGCTACGATTTAACCCGCAATCCCCCCCCCCCCCCCACACACACACGCGCCAAATGCGCGAGGAACGTAACACAAAAGGAAGCCATTCACCCCCACCTTGTCAGTGCTTCCCCCCCCCACATCACCACCACACGCTGGTGCTCTCTAATCCCATTCCTCTGCTCTCCCCTGTGTTGGTGCTCACTCCCTCTCTGCTCTGCAAAATACACAGTCACTCCACTTTGCAGCGTATCCCGTGAAGCGCTTTGAGGCATCTTGTCTCACCGGCTACACTGTGAAGTCCAGTCACTGTGTGTTTGTGGGCGACGTGAGGGGGAGAAATAGAAGGGGGGAGATAGTGGGAGAAAGAGATGGGAGGAGAGAGAGAGACAAGGAGAGAGATGGTTGAAGAAATAAATAATAATAATCCTGGCATTTGATACGGCGCCTCATCACATCTTCTCGACGTCTCAAAGCGCTTCACAGAATAGACTGTAAAGTGAATTGACTGTATATTTGTGGGTGAAACACAGCAGCCAATTGCGCGCAGCAGCGTCCCCACAAACAGCCGTGGGTTGAAGTGACCAAATTATTATTGTTTTTTTTCTTAAGGGATTATTATCAGGTGTGTGTGTGTGCGTGTGTGTGGAGTAAGGAAACTTGCCCAAGGTTTCGCCCTGACCCGCCGGGAATCGAACCCGGGGGTCTCTCGCTTGATATAATAATAATATAATATTATACAGCGCCTTATCACGTCTTCGAGATGTTCGGAAGAGCTTCACAGACCGCTCTGTAACATGAATTGACTTATTTTGTGGGCGAAACGCGGCAGCCGATTGCGCACAGCGGAGCCCCCACAAACAGCCGCGGATTGAAGTGACCGATTTTATTTTTTGTTTCGGAAGGAAAAAGCGATCCGACAATCGACTTAACGACCGAGATGGTAGGAGAGCGAGAGAGAGACAGACAGACAGACAGACAGACAGGAGGAGAGAGAAGAAATGTAAGAGCAATGGGAGAAGCCCTGTGCTGCCAGCTGGCCGGGGTTGGATGTGTGTGAAGGCTGGTGCGTGTGGCTGAGGTTTAAGGGAAGCGAGAGAACAGAGCTGCTCTTAGCCTGGCCTGGCCGACTGCCACGCCGTGTGTTTGTGTAAGGAGGAGACTGTGGTGCCTGAGTTCTCTGCATTGCTTCCGTGCTCTCTCCCCCCCCCCCCCACCACCACCGCCACCCCTCTCCCTGCCCTCCCCCCCCCCCCCAGCTCAGTCTGCCTCACCTTGTACCTTTGCTTTAGATAAATATAGTTATTAATATAACACAGCCCCCAGTCACAGGCTGCTTTAGCTCGAGGCTGTGGGGGGGATGTGATAATCCACGGCTCAGCTCCCACTCCCTCCCGCTCATACTGTGTACGTGTGTATTAATGTGTCGATTGGCTGCCACGTTTCGCCCACCACACACACAGTCACTACACTTCACAGCGTATCCCGTGAAGCGCTTTGAGACGTCGCGAAGACGTGATCAGGCGCCGGGTCAAAACGCGAGGATTATTATCATTATTATTAGAAAGTGCGTCAGTCTATCCACGTGTGCAACGTGTAACATAGAGTGTGCGTGCGTGTGTGTATATACCTGTGCGTGTCAGTGCGTTGTATGATTGTGCGCGCGTTGTACGTGTGTGTGTGTGTGTGTTTCAATGTGTGTATCGCTCTCCTTTTCTCTTTTCTTTGCTCCCTCTCTCGCTTTCTCATTTCCAACAGTGTCGCCCGCCTCTGACAATGGGGTGCTTTCCCCCCCCCCCCCCCACCCCTCGCATTCCGCCATGCCCCCCCCCCCACCCCCCAACTTCCCGTCACTCAGTCGGTCAGTCGGCCTGGACTGTGAGCTCAGAGATCCCGGCAGCTCTGTGAGCCAGAGACCAGGTTGTGGGTTGAGGGAGTTTGTCTGACCACTGATCAGCTGGTCAATATCAGGCCCCAGCCCAGCCCGGGGTGGTGGGGGGGGGGCTGTGTGGGGTGTGCGCGTATGTGTGTGTGGGGAGGGGGCTGTGTGTGTGGGGAGGGGGCTGTGTGTGTGTGCGTGTGTGTGGGGTGGGGGGGGGTAGAGGGTGAAGCAGAGAAATTGAAGCAAAATCTCAAAACATTCCTGTTATGTCGCTGAGTCTCAGACGAGGTGGAGCAAGAGGAGCGCGAGGGGGGGGGGGGGGGGGGGCAGTCACTTACAACAGGGCATTCATTGAGGGTGAGCAGCAGCACAGACCCGGGGGAGGGGGGAGGGGGGGGCTGGTGTTTTGCACAGATGCACGCAGTCATTCACAGAAGCTCACACTGACGGATACAGTCACACGCACTCACTCACACACACACTCACAGACACACACACACTCACAGACATACGCACTCACACACACACACACACACACAGACACACACACATATCGACACACTTATTCACAGTCAGTCGCAGACACACACTCACAGTCACGCTCAAAGACGCTGACACACACACACACACACCACTCACTGACACTCACACACACTCACTCACTGACACTCATACATACACTCACTCACCACAGACGCACTCACACACAGAGACACACACAGTCACTCACTCACTGACACACTCACACAGCAGAGGAGTGGGTTGTGAGAGCTGCAGTGTGAGGGGTTAGGGAGCACCAGTACAGACAGACATGATGGGAGGGAGTGAAGGACCTGCGTGTGGTGTGTGGTGTGTTAACACGCCTGCCCTTCCCCACTGCCCCCCACCTGCCCTCCCCCAAACCCCCCTGAACAACAACCATAAGAACATACTGGACGAAAGGAGGACCAGACCAGGGTCTATCCAGGTCGCCTTCCACCCTCCTGGCCGTGGTTTGCCGGGTGGAGCCCCAGACTATATATTTATATATAAACATATCAAACCAAACCATTTTATTTTCATTTCTGCACATTTTATTTAGCTCCAAGCACAGTTACAGGGTGTGTAAATAGTTAGAATATCCATAAAAAAAAGCCTCAAATATCTTTCAGCTAAAAATATACCATTAGCGATGGTGGCGGGGTGGGGGGGGGGGCTGGAAACTAGCGACTGGGCGGAGAGAAGGCGGTGGGGTGGGGGTTTATTGGGTGGGTGGGGAGGGGGTCGCTTGAAATTGTGGCACTGTAGTTCTAAGAGCTGCTCCCCCCCTCCCCTCGCACATAATTTAGTCTCAGATCTCATGTTCTCCCCTCTCGCTCTCTCTCTCTCTCTCTCGGGGGGGGGGGTGGGGTGGCTGTGTGTGTGGGGGGGGGGGAGGGAATAGCCTCCAAAAAGTGTAGTGATAATATTAGTAATGGGGGGGGGGGTGAGGGGTTTATACAGCAGTAATCAATGTTCCGATGGCAAACCGGCGCATTTTATTATTATTATAATAATAATAAGAACAATCCCCGGGGTTTGACCCGGCGCCCGATCACGTCGTCGAGACACCTCAAAGCGCTTCACGGGACACGCCGTAACGTGTAGTGACTGTGCGTGTTTCGTGGGCCAAACCCGGCAGCCAATTGCGCCCAACGACGTCCCCACAAACAGTCACCGGTTGAAAGTGACCAAATTATTATTACTTATGAACAGCTGAGAAACAGGAATCAGAAACAGAGCGTTTTCAACACCGCCCCCTCCCCCCCACTCCCAACTCCTCTACCCTCCCACCATATTTATCAGCTGCCCCCGTTTCCCCCCCCCCCCGAGTGGGCAGAGTAAGAGAGCAATTTATACAGTCACTACACCTCACCTCGTTTCACAGTGGATGTGATAAGGAGCCATGTTGGAAGTGAGGGAACCAGCGAGTTTGGGTAATAAATTAACGGGGAAATGTAGGCGGTGGGGGTGGGGGAGAAGATTCTGGAAGAGTCTTTGGTCGACGATGGTTGCTCTGGAAGGAAGGAATTGATGGGAAGGAGGGGGGGGAAGCGAGGGGGGGGGAAATAACATTCACCGCAGTGTGTAGGGGGGTGGGGGTGGGGGCGAGTTGCTTAATTAAGAAACAGCACATCATCAAAGCTTCCTAATACAGGTCAATCAGCAATGTATAACACCCCCCCCCCCCCCCAATCTCCGCACCGACCCCCACAGGCACAGGCTATAAGCTAAGGCAACACTTAAAATAAAATAAAACCAACATCTTTTTACATAATATGTACTTTTGCTTTTGGCAAATAAAAACACACACAACCCTCGCCCCCCCCCCCCCCCCACCCCACCTCCTCTCCTCCCCCCCTCAAAAAAGCAGAAAGTCCTGCCTGGCGCTCTAATGGTTAAAGGAATTGGGCGCCAATGGATTTATTTTCGAACCGTGGACCCTGGGGGAACGGGTGGGGGAACGTGTGGGGTGGATGAGGGAGGGGAGGGGGGGGGGGGACGATAATTAAAGCGGTTAAAAAAAAAGGGAGGTATTTGCGAGAGAAAGAGAGAGATAAAGTGGGGGGGGGGTGGTGTTTAACATGTAATATATGATGAATGGGGTGGGTGGGGGGTGGGGGTAGTTTGTGAGGGAGGCGTTTAATAGACAAAAAAAAGCCCCCCCTCTCCCGCCCCCCCTCAAGGCCAACGTCCTGTGACTTGCGAGTTGCCGGCTTTTGTGAATGGGGGGGGGTTTGATTCCAAATATTGGGCAAAGCCTTCACAATGGCCGGTTGGTTGATTCACTCTGGGGCTCTGTGGGGAGGGGGCTGTTGGCTGTGAGGGGGGGAGAATGGGGGGAGGGTCTGCGTGTTAAAGACAGTGATAAGCTTCAGATACCACCAATCCACTCAACCAATCCATTTCCCCCCCCCCACCCAAACACAGATATCTAACGCCTCCGCCTCGCCCCCCCCCCCCCTCATTCTTCAAATCCCACCCTTAAAACCCACCTCTTCAGCCGTGCCTACGGTCACCTTCGCTCCCCCCCTCCCCCCCCACAACACCAATTCTCCCACCTTCAGGAACAGTTCCCCCCACTCTCCCTCCCCCCCCCAACCTTCCCCTCAGGCTGGGTTCTGACACCCTATCCTTCGCGAAAAGAGGTCCGTGTGTGTGTGTGTGTTAAAATGCAAACCGTTGACATTTTTATCTCTCCTTCCTCCGCCCAACCAACCCCAAACCCCCCCCACCCCAATGCCAGCCCCAACCAGCCCCCACCGCGGGAAAAAAAAGCTCCCAGACTCGGTCACCCATCCATCTTCTCATCATGTCCATTGCCCTCTCTCTCTCTCTCCGCAGAGCAGAGCAGTGTAGAGCGGAGCCCCTTAAGGCCTGGTCAGGGTTGTGTAGACTGGCTGCTCCCAGTGGCTGGGGCTCCGCGCCTGGGCGTTGGAGGTGGGGTCTGCGATGGGGGTGTAGAGGGGCCTCTGGGAGGGTCCCATGTAGGAGAAGGCGGTGTAGAGTCCTGAGGTCTGGGCGGACGGGCTGTAGTAGGAGGCCGCTGGAGGCTGATGGTCGGAGTAGTCGAACTGGGACCGGGTGATGGTGGGGAAGGCCGAGCCGTAGTGAGGGAGGCTGAGCGAGGTGTAGGTGATCTGGGCCGAGGGGTGCTGGGGCGGCTCCTGGTAATGTGCCGGATGGGCCTCCGTCTTGATCTGGGCCTTGAGCTCGGAGACGGAGCTGGGTCCAGTCGCGGAGACGGAGGAGGCTCCCCCGGCCGACGGGTGGGCTTTGGAGATCCAAGCGGGGTGCCCGGGCGTGCCCGTCAGACCGGGGTAGCCCCCCGCGGAGTAGCCAGCGCCCCCCAGCCCCCCTCCTCCTCCTCCTCCGCCACCTAGCACCCCCGCCTGCCCGTGGCCTGGGTGCCCGTTGGTGGGCAGGTACTGGTCGAACTCGTGCACGTCGAAGGTCTCCATGTTGGACATCACGTCGTGGCTCAGGTCACCGATGTCCATGGTGCCGAAGTCGATGTGGGGTTTGCCCCCCTCGGCCAGCGGGCGCCCCTCTCGCTTACCCTCCCCCTTGCCAGGCTGCAGCTCCGTCTTGGGGGTGGTGGGAGGGGTGGGCGGCCCATGGTTCTGACCTTAAAGGGGGGACAGGGTGTAGGGAGGGGGAGGGTGTAGGGGGGGAGGGGGGGTGGGTAGAGAAACACACCGACAGATCACAAACATCATCATGGTAATCCTTGCCTCACAGCCCTCCGAGACACGGTCAAAACGCACAGTCACTACACTTTACACTTATTACTATGATTATTATTTAACATAAATGCAAGTTGTTGTTGTTGTTGTTGTGGAGGACCCCGGCGCCCGATCACGGCTTTGAGACGTCTCAAAGCGCTTCACGGGACATACCGTCAGGTGTAGGGACTGTGCGTGTTTTGCGGGCGAAACGCGGCAGCACAATTGCGCCCAACGACGTCCCCACAAACGGTCGTGGGTCAAAGCGACCGAATTATTCTTATTTATTTATTTTTGAAGGGATTATTACCCCCGGAATAGCCATTCCCCCAATCGACCAACAAACGGGTTCCTACGTACTGTGAAGGTAAACAGAGGCGCGTGTGTGTGTCTGTATGTGTGTGTGTCTCTGTGTGTGTGTGTGTGTCTGTGTGTGTGTGTCTGTGTGTGTGTGTCTGTGTGGGTCTGTGTGTGTGTGTGTGCGTCTCTGTGTGTGTGTGTGTGTCTGTGTGTGTGTGTCTCTGTGTGTGTCTGTGTGTGTGTGTGTGTCTCTGTGTTTGTGTGTGTGGGTGTGTGTGTCTCTGTGTTTGTGTGTGTGGGTGTGTGTGTGGGTGTGTGTGTCTCTGTGTTTGTGTGTGTGTGTGTGTGTGTGTCTGTGTGTGTGGGTGTGTGTGTCTCTGTGTTTGTGTGTGTGTGTCTGTGTGTCTGTGGGTGTGTGGGTGTGTGTGTCTCTGTGTTTGTGTGTGTGTGTCTGTGTGTCTGTGGGTGTGTGGGTGTGTGTGTCTCTGTGTCTGTGTATCTGTGTGTGTGTGTGTCTTTGGATTAACGAAACTTGCCCAACATTTCGCCCCGACCTGACCCGCCCGGGAATCGAACCCAGGTCCTCTCGCTTGCGAGGCGAGGGCTCTAACCACTGAGCACCCGGTTTGAGGACCACCCACCCACCCACCCACTCCCTCCTTCCCTCTCGTGTCCCCCCCTCCCCCCCTTCCTCCCCCTTACCCGTGTGTTCGCTGTGACCCTCCGAGAGGGGAGAGCCCCCCAGGGAGCGCCCCCTGTCCTGGGGCACGGCCTTGTAGTGCGTCTGCACGGAGGAGATGGGGGGGTCGTCAGGATGGGGGTCTCCCTCGCTCTGCCCGGGCTTCAGGTTCTTCCTGCGGCGCGGCTGGTATTTGTAGTCAGGGTGGTCCTTCTTGTGCTGAGATCTCAGCCTCTCGGCCTCTTCCACAAACGGCCGCTTGTCGTTCTCATTCAGTAGCCTGGAAACCCCCACAAACACGTGGTCACACGGCTATACGCGCACACGCGCACACACACGCGCGCGTGTATACACATACAAACACACAATCACACACGTATACCCACGCGCGCACACACCTGCACACGCACACACGTAATCACACACAGATACACGCGCAACCACACGCGTGTACACGCGCGCGCGCGCCCGCGCACACCCGCACAAACACATAATCGCACACATGTATATGCGCGCACATATGCACACACATGCCTGCAAACAGCACGCGCGCGCGCGCGGCGCCTCATCGCGTCTTCGAGACGTCTCAAAGCGCTTCACAGGATATGCTGCGAAGTGCAGTGACTGTGTATTTTTTGAGCGGCAGCCAATTATGCGCACAAACACGAGGCACACACAGTCATTATGGACGTATACAGACTCGCACCGCGTTACACACACAGTGCGCGTGAGAGTAACAAACTTGCGGGTGAGATACCAGCCTTATCCCTGTGTGGAGGAGGAGGTGGGGGTGGAAGGCAGTGCAGGAATGTATTAGCTCAACCCCCCCCCCCCCCACCCTCCCTCACTGACAGTCACTACAGCCCAGACACCAGGGAGATTATCCATGGCCAGGCAGAGGAGGGGGGCAGTTAGCGAATTAGTTAATTATAGTTAATGAGTTAACGTCCCCCGGTTTCCCTCCTCGCTCTCTCTCTCTCTCTCTCTCTCGCTCTCTCTCTCTCGCTCCCCCACTCTCAGGGCGTGGAGGTCTCAATGGTGAAGGTCAAGGTTTTTCCCCTCCGAGAGAGAGAGAACGAGAGAGAGAGAGAAAGAGAGAAAGAAAAAAAGAGAAAGATCGACACAAAAGTGTTTTATCTGATATTTAGTTTGTTGTTATGTCCTCTCCTCCCCCCAACCCCAAGATCGAGGCTGTTCTGTGTGAGCGGCACTGACCCACGTCCCCTCGCACCGGCTCCCGGGGCTATTCCTTGGCCCAAAACCTCCCACACCCCGTCTCTCGCCCACCGGCCACGATGGCCAACACCGGCCACTGGGAGGCGCTCCTCAGCTCTCAGCCACAGTGATGGAGGGTCAGAGAGAGAGAGAGACACACATCTCTCTCTCTCACTCTCTCTCTCTCTCTGCCCCTCCGTTTCTCTTGAGTGTCTATGCGTCATTGAGTGTGTCTGTGACTCTGTGTGTGTGTGACCGTGTGTGTGTGTGACTGTGTGTGTGTGACTGTGTGTGTGTGTGTGACTGTGTGTGTGTGACTGTGTGTGTGTGACTGTGTGTGTGTGTGTGATGTGTGTGTGTGACTGTGTGTGTGTGACTGTGTGTGTGTGTGAGACCGTGTGTGTGTGTGACTGTGTGTGTGTGAGTGTGTGTGTGTGTGTGTCAGTGAGGGGTATAAACCCCCCCCCCCCCCCCCCCCGGTCGCCTTTAAACCTTCTCAGCTGCAGCCGCCCCAACCTGCGCGAGACTTGCGTTATGTTCCTGACTAACGTCGTGTGTTACTCTACATAAACGCACCACATTTCACGGGATCCCATCCCCACACCCTGAGAGGTTTTTAACCCGAGTTTGTGTGTCAGTTTATCCACTGAGAGGGCACGAAGTACACGCGAGAGACCCCGGGTTCGATTCCCGACGGGTCAGGGCGAAACCTTGGGCAAGTTTCCTTACTCCACACACACACACGCACACGCAGATACACGCACGCACACGCAGATACACGCACGCACACGCAGATACACGCACGCACACGCGAGCCTGGTAATAATCCCCTCGAGAAAAAACTAACAAAATAAAGTAATAATTCGGTCCGCGGCTGTTTGTGGGGACGTCGCTGGGCGCGATTGGCTGCCGCGTTTCGCCCACAAAGGACACAGTCACTACACTTTACGGTGATTCCTGTGAAGCGCTTTGAGACGTCTCCAAGACGTGATCAGGCTCTGTATCAAATGCCAGGATTATTAACGTGCCCAGACTTAATCTCCCACTCCCCGCTCTGCTACTGAGCCCTGCTGTGGGGGTGTGGGGGGGGGGGGGGGTGGGGGGAGAGACACAGAGCCAGACTGGCTCTATCACTCACGCTCTCGCATCAGTCTTTATCAGAAGGTTGTGGGTTCGAGCCCTCTATGGGGCGGAGGGGGGTAGGAAATGGATCGCTGGAGTACCCTTCAGATGAGACGTTAAACTGAGACCCCCCCCCACACACTCCTCTAAACATCTCCCGCGACGCTGTCGGGAAAGAGAAGGGAACCTCTCTCTCTCTCTCTCTCTAGCCACCCAGCCCCCAAATTGTGGGGACGTTGCTGCGTATAAATCGGCTGCCATGTTCGCCCACTTAACGCACAGTCACTCCACTCCACAGTAAATCCTATAACGACAACAATAATCCTGGCGCTCGACACAACGCCTGATCGCGTCTTCGAGACGTCTCAAAGCGCTTCACAGGACACACTGTAAAGTGAATCGACCGTATGTTTTGTGGGCGAAACATTTCGACGGTAAAATGCGTGTATCTCTCTCTCTCTCTCTCCGTCACACTCTATCTCTCCCCCGTGTTTCTGACGCTGGTAAGCAGAAAGTTTACACACACACACACACAGAAAGACACTTGTAATCTCCACGTGGACTCAATGTCCTTGATTAAAGCCACATTTTACAGTCTTTCTCTCCCCAATTGCCTCCGCGATTAAGATAAAACTGCCCAAATCCCCCCACTCCCGTCTCCAGTTTCCATCGCTTCACACACCGGCAAACCACAGCTTTAACACAACCACCACCACCACCACCACCACAACCACCACCACCACCACCACCACAACCACCACCACCACCACAACCACCACCACCACCACAACCACCACCACCACCACCACCACAACCACAACCACCACCACAACCACCACAACCACCACCACCACAACCACAACCACCACCACAACCACCACCACAACCACCACCACCACCACCACAACCACCACCACAACCACCACAACCACCACCACCACAACCACCACCACAACCACCACCACAACCACCACCACAACCACCACCACCACCACCACCACCACAACCACCACCACAACCACCACCACACCACCAACACCACAACCACCACACCACCACAACCACAACCACCACACCCAACAACAACCACCACAACCACCACCACCACCACCACCACAACCACCACCACAACCAACAACAACAACCACCACCACCACACAACCACCACCACCACCACAACCACCACCACCACAACCACCACCACAACAACAATAATCTTTGCATTTGATGTAACGCCTCATCACGGCTTTGAGACGTCTCAAAGCGCTTCGCAGAACATTACCGTATAAAGTGTAGTGACTGTGTATTTTGTGGGCTAAAGGCGGCAGCCAATTGCGCACAGCAGTGTCCCACAAACAGTCGTGGATCGAGCGGCCGAATTTTTCTTTTTTGGAGGGATTATTACCCCCGGAAAAGCGATCTGCCAATCGACGAATAACCGGGTTCCTACTTACCACTGGCTTGCGTGTGCGTGTGCGCGAGTGTGTGTGTGTGTGGGTATGTGTGTGTGTGTGTGTGTGTGGGTGTGTGTGTGTGTGTGTGTGGGGTATGTGCGTGGAGTCAGGAAACTTGCTCAATGTTTGGCCCGGCCCGGGAATCGAGCCCAGGTCCCTCTCGCTTGCGAGGCGAGGGCTCTCACCACTGAGCTGCAGATCTCCAAACCCCTCACGTCTCAAAGGGAGGACGTCTCAAAGTGCTTCCCAGGGTCTCACTGGAAAGTGCAGTGACTGTGTGTTGCGCGGGGGGGGGAGGTGGGGGGATTACCGACCAGGACACTGGGTGGGGAGACAGAGAGAGAGAAAAACTCCCTTCTCTTTTCTGAATGGCGCGAAGAGCTTTGACACATCCCTCCCGATGTGATGATTTACTCTCGACAAATGCGAGGATTATTGATTAGTGTTATCACTTAATTATTATCACTTTGTTTGCTCTGCACTCTACAGTCGGGGAGAAAGGCAATAAATAACTAACAATAACAATATTAATAATAATAATAATCCTGGCATTTGACACTGCGCCCGATCGCGTCGTCGAGACGTCTCAAAGCGCTTCTTGGAATATGTTGTAAAGTGGAGTGACTGTGCATTTTGTGGGCAGCCGATTGATTGGGCACAGCAGCGTCCCCACAAACAGCCGCGGAGTGAAGTGACCGAATTATTATTATTGATTTGCTTTTTATTTATCTTTTTGGAGGGGTTGGGTCCGACCGAGAGCCGGGTTCCTACTTACTTCGAGGGAAACGGAGACGTGTGTGAGGGTGTGTGAGGGTGTGTGTGAGGGTGTGGGTGGGTGTGTGTGTGAGGGTGCGTGTGTGTGTGTGTGAGGTGTGTGTGTGTGTGTGTGTGTGTGCGCGGAGTAAGGAAACTTGCTCAATGTTTCGCTCTGCCCGGGAATCGAGCCCAGGTCCTCTGGCTGCCGTGTTGAGCCTACAGAAACACACAGTCACTACACCTTACGGCGAACCCTGCGAGGCGAATGGCTCCGTGTCGAAGCCCGAGGCCTAATATTATCGTTGGTCTCATTTTACTTTCAGTGCACTTCACGGTATCTTCCGCGAGGGGCTCTGAGAGGTCTCGGAGACGTGAGTAAAGGCCTTGGGGGTGAGTGTGAGGTCTGTTATTAGTGATTATTATTAATTATCGGTTATTAATCAGAAAGATGTGCGAAAGGGGAGAGAGCATTTCAAACCATGGAATCAACAGTGCGTGCAATCAGATTTCTCAGGGTCAGGCCAGAGAGTGGGGGGGGGGGACTGATCACTGTATGTGGGGGGAGGGGGGGACTGATCACTGTATGTGGTGGTGGGGGGGGGACTGATCACTGTGGTGCGGGGGGACTGATCACTGTGTGTGGGGGGGACTGATCACTGTGTGTGGGGGGGGACTGATCACTGTGGGGGTGGGGGGGACTGATCACTGTGGGGTGGGGGGGACCTGATCACTGTGGGGGTGGGGGGGGACTGATCACTGTGGGGGTGCGGGGGACTGTTCACTGTGTGGGGGGGACTGATCACTGTTGGGGTGGGGGGGACTGATCACTGTGGGGGTGCGGGGGGACTGATCACTGTGGGGGTGGTGGGGGACTGATCACTGTGGGGTGGGGGACTGATCACTGTGGGGGTGGGGGGGGACTGATCACTGTGGGGGTGCGGGGGGACTGCTCACTGTGTGGGGGGGGACTGATCACTGTGGGGGTGCGGGGGGACTGATCACTGTGTGTGGGGGGGACTGATCACTGTGGGGGTGGGGGGGACTGATCACTGTGTGTGGGGGGACTGATCACTGTGTGTGTGGGGGGGACTGATCACTGTGGGGGTGCGGGGGGACTGATCACTGTGTGTGGGGGGTACTGATCACTGTGTGTGTGGGGGGGACTGATCACTGTGGGGGTGCGGGGGGGACTGATCACTGTGTGTGGGGGACTGATCACTGTGTGTGTGTGGGGGGACTGATCACTGTGTGTGGGGGGACTGATCACTGTGGGGGTGCGGGACTGATCACTGGGGGTGTGGGGGGGACTGATCACTGTGGGGATGCGGGGGGGGGGGGGGGACTGATCACTGTGGGGATGGGGGAGATTTGGGGGAGATTGTGTGGGGATGGTGGGGGGGAGAGAGAGAGTGTGGGGGTTAGACAGTGACCTATAACTTGCGGAGTGTGGAGTGGGGTGAGGGAGACAGTTTGTGGGTGTTGTGTCTGTGGGTGGGGGGGGGGGGAGGGCAGAGGAGACAGTGTGGGGGGTGGGGGCAGAGGGAGACAGTGTGCGTGGGGGGGGGGAGGGCAGAGGGAGACAGTGTGGGGGGGGGGGGCAGAGGAGACAGTGTGCGTGGGGGGGGAGGGCAGAGGGAGAACAGTGTGCGTGGGGGGGAGGGCAGAGGGAGACAGTGTGCGGGGGGGGAGGGCAGAGGAGACAGTGTGCGTGGGGGGGGGCAGAGGGAGACAGTGTGCGTGGGGGGGAGGGCAGAGGAGACAGTGTGCGTGGGGGGGGAGGGCAGAGGGAGACAGTGTGCGTGGGGGGGGTGAGGGCAGAGGGAGACAGTGTGCGTGGGGGGGTGAGGGCA